CTTTGTCTTATTATTTGATTTGAAGATTTAGACTCAGTGTTATTGGGGTTAGATAAAGGCGTGATAGTCGCAAGTCAACAAGCCAAAGGTAAACTTTGACTCCGTAAAAAGACTAAAAACGTTTAACACGTTGAAAAATATATGATGAAGATGAAGAGCAAGAGAGTGGAGAAGAGAAAAAAAGAGAAAATTTTTATCATTTTGGCCTTCTCTTCTCTTGAGCTGCTCTTGCCTTTGTTAAGGTCAATTTGCGTGCCTAGTTAAAATGAACGTTCTATGTAAATTTAGATGCAATGTAAATAAACCATTTTCCCATCTTCTTCTTCTTCGTCTTTCTGGCCTTACTTGTGTGTGTGTCCAAGCATAAATTTACCCAGCCAAAAAGACTGATAAACGCGTGGCAAATAAAGTCTTAGGCCATCTTAGTGCCCGCAAAGACTCAAGTTGTATCAACAAAAAGAGACGAAAATAATAGAAGTCATTTCCTTCTTAGCATCAAGTCAAGATAGATGCTGAAGAAGATGGATAAGCAACATTTATTTCTTCGTCTTCCATCTCAATTCTATGTGACGTTAAGAAGAAGTGTCAAGGAAGAAGAAGAAGATGAACAAGAAAGGAAAGATGACAATAAGAAAAAAAATGGCAAGAATAATCTTTATGGAAGAAGAAGAGAAGAAAAAATGACGAAAATGAAAAAAAAGAAGAAAAGGAAAGAAAAGTAAAGCTAAAAGGTTGAGAACTTAATGGAAGAGAGAAAACAGAATAAGCATTTTTTATGAATCTGAATAAGAGGTGAGAAGGCGATGATAATAATGAGAATGATGAGGATGAGAAAAGGCAGGAAAAGTAAAACCTCAAGCAGTTTTTTTGTGGGTTTTGTGAGTGAACAGTATTTTCAAGAGGATTTTGCAGAAGAGCAGAGAAACTTTTTTTTGTACAAAATGTATTAGCTCATGTAATATGCACAGTTATTGATAGGCTTATCCTTGATATTAATAATATGATGCTTACTGATGAAAGGTGGATGAATGGCAAGACAGAGACGAGGTAATGTTCATCTTGCATCTCTACCTCAAGATGAAGAAACCAGAAATAAGCTGATATGTACTTAAAGATTCATCATCATTTTACTTTGACTGTTAACATGTTAACACATAATACTAATCTTTGCCAGATTAGATTGTGTTTAATAAATTTCTTGTTATCTTCTTCTCTTTTTTCTCTATTTCCCTGTATTCTCATTGTAAAAACTGAAACCTCACGTTGAGGTTTTAAATATTGAACACTGTTGACAACAAAAGTGCCAACTGACAATGAGGCGAAGAGGAACAAAATGATTCTTGTCTTGAGCAGAACAAGTTTAAAATGAACAATCAACAAAATACTGTTAACCTATTTACCTTTCTAATTTTCCTGCTCAATATTTACAGTTATATTAAATGGTGAAAAGCTTTTTCCAATTTGCAATATTACAATAATATCAACTGCTTCTTTCACCACGGCACGTTTCATCATCAGTCAATCAGATTAACATTCAATTTTATTACATTTTGCAATCTAATTTTGTTTATTAAGTTTCAGTTTTAAAAGTTCATTTTCAAGCTTCAATTTGCTTTTCGCGACAAAAAGTTGCTTCAAAATGAGCATCAAGATCGCTTAATTGCTCAATTTAATCAAATTATTGCATAGTTTTTGATTCAGTTAAATCACCTTCTATTCATTATCCATGAGAATTTCATTTTACAATATTGCTCGATGACAAGTTCCCATAATGTTTAGACAAATCGATTTAGCACACTTTTTCGATCATTCAGACGAAAAGTCAAAGAGATAAAATCAGTCAAAGTTTAAGACGTTAAAGTAAAAGTTTAAAGTTTAAAAAAGAGTTCAGTTTGTTCGAGCTTTGCAAATCATTTTAGCAATAAGGAGAAATGTCTTGAACCTTGTTACCAGAAAAAAACAAAAAACAATTGGATTTGTGAAAAAACCCTTTTGTCTAACTATTCCGAGAGACTTTACAACCTGAGAACTCGACTTTTGAGTAAATTAACTGGTTTTATGACTGGCTTAAGATTTTGTCTAAACATTTTGAGAAGCGACTAAACATCATGGAAACCTGTCTAAAGTCACCGAGCAATGCTGTAAAATGCAAATTCAATCTGGACCTTGTGAGAAAATTTCGGCTTTTAGGTCAATTACAGCTAAAACTATCGACATTTAAATTCAACTTTTCATATCGAATGTTTTTGCCCGATTCCACCTGAGTAAACCTAAAGTTAAATTTTTATTCATAGAAGCTCCGAGTTTCAATGAATAGCTGATGAAATTTTCTCAACTTTTCATATCGAATGTTTTTCCCAATTCCAACTGAGTAAACCTAAAGTTAAATTTTTATTCATAGAAGCTCCGAGTTTCAGTTCCTCTTTCAAGAAATCTTTAGAGTCGAATACAGATTTTACAATCGCTAAAAGTTAACTTCATTTTTTCAGCAAAATTCAAACTTTCCGTTTTTATTTGAATCTTTGAATTATGACAAAAGACTGACATTTTCATAAAAAAAAGTTTGTCCGAAAATCGGAAATGGCCTTTTTTTCGATTTTTCATTTGACTTCAACTAATTTGATTGAGCTTTCGTGATTGTCGCACTTTACTGTGATCAATCAAGTCACCTCCAATTGAACCTTGACTTTTCAATGTACTATAAATAATTCAAGGCTAATCCAAGTAAAGACTTTTATTGAAAAAAAACAAGAGATTAGTTGAAATCTTAAGCTACTAAGATGAAACATAAAAATTTTTATTTACTCTTAAAAGGGTTAAGATAATGTCGTTGAACAAATTTGACAATATTCAAGATCAACATTGAACCCATTTAATTTGATATTCACAGTTAATCTATTTTTATTGATATTATTATTGCTTTAAGTAAAGAGATATAAAAAGAAGGTTAAAGAAGGAAAAGTGAAATGATAATACAAACAACTTATCAGATTATTATCATAGTTAATATGAAGAGTTGGCAACAAAAGAAAATCATTTTGGAATAATTTATGCAAGTTCACTCAAGAAGCTCAGTTTTTAGTCAACATATGGTAAACTGTGTGTTTACCTGTGCAAAGACAACAATCGACTAATTGTTTCAAGATAATGATAAAAGAGTATCGATAAATAATCAGTTATAATATACTGTTAACTGCACAAATGAATCACAAGAATAAACATTGAAAATTGATCAACAATCAGGTGAGTTGCTCGGTTATAACAAATGTTAACCAGAAACCAAACTGAATCACTTTTCATCAATCAAAATGAAGCTCAAGATCAACTCATTAGTTACATCATTTACAATTGAAAGTCTGAGGCATTGAGTGCATCAATGGAAATGCCAAGTAACTCATTTCAGTCTGATAAGCTAATCATGACAGACTGGTTGAGTGTAATTACGATCCATTTCAGCTTGGTTCTTTTCGAATCTTGAAAATCTAAAACTTCTATTTTAAATCTCGCAATATTGAATTGAAAAAGGTTTAGAAAGAATTGGTTCGAAGATGAAAATAGTTTGTATGATTTTTGATGAGAAATCAAATTTATACAATGCTTTTTTGATTATCTGATTTCAATCTGAACTTTTCTCTTGCTTGAGCTATTTGACTTGCGAGATTTGATTCTTGGCCGGTCAAAAGTCGGTCCAGTTGCAAGGTATAAACATTTAAGTATCGCTACAAAATCCTATAAACAGACATGTTTCTCAACGGGAATGACCAATGGCTGGTAAAACCTTTCAAATAGACTTGCCTTCTGACCACCTCAAAGGTTTCAAAGTTAATATTGGGTTGCATCATTAAACCGACTATTTTATTTCAGAATAACTTTTGACTGGACATTACAGAGAGTTGATACTTGGCATTTCTGTTGCGCTGGCCATCAGATTCGATAACCATTTGCTTCTTGCAGGAAACTTTGGAACTTCGCAATCAAAGTCTCTGAACCACTTTCACTTTAAATCTGAAATCATCTGTTCATCTGTTCTTCATCGAAACAACTCATTTTTTGAAAGCAATTATATGTTATAACTTTGATAAACTAAGAAAGAAATTTGTGCTATAAAATGTTGTATCAGTTAAGATTAAGCGACCTTTTTAAGTTCAAAAATAGCCTGATTCATAAAAGCTATTAATAATAAAATACTTTCACTTTTGGATGAAATTATCGCAATTGATACATTTTGACATTTCTTTAAAAATATTTTTGAGGCAAAAATGCTAGAAAAAAGTATCGAAATAAGATGAAAATTTTAATCAATCCAATTTTCCATTTTCATGAAATTCGCCGAATATCCTGAAACCAACTAATCACGAAATTTCCTACTTGATATATCAATACAATAAAACAAATGTAATCACTTTTCAACCTAAAAACGTCAACAATGTTGACTAGACTTATGAAGAAAAGCTGCTTTTTGGTAAACATCTTTATCGATATTTGGATTACAAAATGATCCAAACAAAAGTGGAACTTGCAATTGAATAATTTAAACTCGAAAAATTCACTGGAATCCGATTTCAGGTTAATACAGTTGCACCAAGAAAGTAACCACTAAAATGTCAACCTGCAAACATGAATTATTGTTAATTAACCTTGTTTTAATGATAATTACCTTCTCATCAATTGACTCATAAATCCTCTTTACCATTACCATGGAAATTATTTTTACAGTTAACACCACGAAGATTATGAGACAATGAAGATAAGGCAAGAAAAGTGAGCTTTAATTGTTTCTCTTCTCCATCATCTTCATCTTCACCTTTCTTTCCCTCTTTCCCTCTCTCTCATCTTGATCAATTTCCACAGAATCTTATCAATTAATCGCCATTTTTCCTCTATTCATCTTCTCTGTCTATCAATAATCAGCAAGAAAAGAGACTAAATTGTCTTGGAAAGAAAAGTGACTTTTCTCTCTGTCGATTCTTACCTTCACCAACCTTTATCCTAATCATACCTGTTAACCATCATTCAGTACCAATAATAACCATTAACCTGGTTAAGAAGAAGACGAATCATCTTAACCCGTTCAGGGAGACAAAGAAGACAAAATAATTCCATTTTTATTTTCCTTTTTTTTCTTCACTCACCATCTTCATCTTAATTAGTCCTTTAATCACAATTTGTATCACTCTACTTTTTACTGTCATTTGTGCCTTAATTCATCAACCCATTCTCATCATCCATCAACAGTCATCGAAAATCAACTTTTAATTTATGAAACTTTTACAAACTTGCAACTAAAATGTTTTCAAAACGATTACGATTCTCAATATTATTAACAGTAATAACACTTTTTTACCAAATAGTCAACTTAAGTTCTGCTCAAGGTAAGTCAACTGTTCAATTGTTCATTCTAACTGAATTAAGAAAATTTCCTTCATAAATGAATGTAGAAAAAAATTTGGAGAAAAAAAAGTTTTTCTTATTTGCCCAAATCTTGCAATTATTATTTATTGATATTACTAGATTATGACCTTTTTGACCTTTCAATTTTTATTAACAATCATGAATATAAAACGGTAAACAAAGCCGTTCAATAATCTTTATCATTTTTTTATGATAATCACAATAATGCCATAATAATGTTGTTATAATTCAGGCAATAATTCAGGTTATGAGTTTTGGGCCAAAGTTGAATAGAGAAAAAAAAGAAACGTTAAAGCTCGAGAAGAAAGGAAAATGTTGGAAAGTTAAAGTGACTTTGTAACCTTTTACGTCTTATTACTAGATTAGATGGGAAACAGGTAAAGTGTAATTACAGTTATCTATTGTCATCATTTACCTTTCCTTCACTCGACAATCAAGCCAATAAAAGATTTTCTAACAACCCTGGGAGAGATGATAGTCGAGCACTGAACAGATGAATTGAGAGCAAATGAGATTCCAAATTGTTTACTGAGAGTGAAATGAGGTGAACAGAAATTATTCAAGTTTCATTTTTTTAAGCTATTTTCAATTCTTATTGTGACAAGGAATTGATAACATCTTGAGTCTAGGCTATCATTTCAAGTTTACTGGAAAAGTTCATTTCAATTATTGAATGATTTGGAGGTTAAAATTTATCCTCAAGTCAGTGAGTTTTGAAAAAAAGAGTGAAAACACTCGAAGCAACTATTTTTATAACAATGCGAATTGTTGATGGCAATTGATTTGATTGTTTCAAACTGTTGCTTGTAACCGATGAAATTATCAATGAACAAGATTTTCAAGTTTCTTTTTCATCTTCAACGATCAAGTCAAAACAAAATCTTGAGAAATGTTGATAATGTTTTCATGAAACAATTCAGTTTCCCTTAGATTGAGACTAACATGAAACTAGAAAAATGCCATTTTCTTATCAAAATATTAATCGACTTCCATTAATCTAAATGCAAGACAAACCCCGAGTCTTGATCATTGATCGACATTTTTTGAAACAATTTATCCAACTGAATAAGTCCGTCGAGACTGGAATCGGACATTTTCCCGTTGCTTTATAATCTTGAGTATTTTGTTGATGTTAGTTATGATTAAAGGGGAAATCGCATTTTATCATCATTACCAATTAAAATGTTTGATTTACTTGCAATGAAGATAAAGTGTTGAATAAGATGATGCTAATGTTAGATAAATTGTTGGTCTGATTACAGTTGTTTTATGTAAAGATTCAGTAATACGATTCAGAATTAATCAATCATTTATTAATGAATGTCCTTCAAAATTAACCTTTTTTCTCTTAATTCTCACAATTGACAGACAGCAATCAAAGTATTTAATTAAGATTAAGTGAATATAAAAACGCAGATATTTGTTGTCGCACTAATCATTATCTTTCAGGATTTAATGCAATTAGCTTAACTTTTACGCTCAAAGGTTAACTAATAAATGTTGATTACTTTGTGTATTTCAATGAGCACAATGAACTGAAATGAAGGGAAAAGTGTTTTTAAGAAAAAAATTTCTTTCTTTTCGATTGGACAGTTTTAAAAGCAAAAGTTTCGACTGGTTGGACTGAACATGATCTGGAGACGTACCCACCAAAGATCAATGATGAAAGTTATTTGTATTATGCTGGGAAAACATCTGATTTAAATGGTCTCAAGATAGTTGTCAAGACAATTCCAAGTATTAATAGCACGGAAAAGTTGATTCAAGCTGATGTCAGCTTCGACTATTGGGGTGTTGGTGGTACATTAGAAGCTGATAATCTTGCTACTAATTTCTTCAGCGTCGGTGTCAGTGCTTATTCAGAGGCTAAACCACAAACTGTATTTGCTTACTTTAATGATTCCTATTTGGGTGGCGATTCTTGGGGCACTTTTGAGTCAACCTTCCTTCAGCCCGTTTATCCAGCTCGAATCATGATAACACCAAACTTGGCAAGTACAGGAAGCGACAATTCTTATTATGTTGCACTCAAAGGAATCCAAGTTACCTATTTCATTGAAAATAGTAAGTTTATTTTTCACATTTTTTCAAGTTTCCACATCAAAAACCTTTAGTCAATCAAGGATTTAATTTCAATTTCCAGTATTTTCCAAATAAATTATTCAATTTTCATAAATTGTATTTATAAACATGATATTTAGATCAGTTTTGGATTTGATTGGAAAATAAATTGAAAATGATTTTGATTAGGAAAAGTTTTCTTGATGTTCTAAGGAAAGATTATGAAAATTTTAAATACCTTGAAAGACATGTTGACAATCAAATGGTCACTCCTTTGAGATTAACTTGATTTTTGTGGCTTTACGCCAGTTTTGTGGAAACTTGAAAATGCTGAAATATTACGATGAAACACAATTGAATTGTGTTATCGGTTTTTTCAAAAATTTCCATTTTCTATGAGAAACTAATCTCTTTTTTTCCCTTGGTTTTTTTAAACTTTACTGTTTATTTGTTCACCTTTCAACTATGAATTAAATTCAGCTGAAACAGTAAATTCCATTGATCCAACTACCAATACGACAGTTCCACAGGAAGTAAAATCAACTCGAAATGTAACTTTATCATGTGAATCAGATGACTGTTATGATTTTGATTTGGTAAATGGGGCAACTTTATACTGGTCTGATAGATTTTTCCCCACAAAACCACAAACATTTACCAAATTTTTGACTCCCAATGCTGGCACAATAGCTCCTTATCAATTAACATTGACCAAGGCCAATGCAACTGATGTTTGTGTCTCAATTAATTACTGGTTAACCGAAGCATCCAATTTAACGGTTCAACTTGATTCAAGTACATCTACAATTGTTTTATCACCAACTTATTCACTTTCAACATCAACTTCAATTGATGTTGCTGATTCAATGTATGATTGGTACACAGTCCAGATTTGTATGAGCCACTTTGTGTATGCGGCAGCTAGTGGAGATCACATGATATCATTGATACCTGGAAAAGCTGGAGAATCGGAATTTATAGCAGTCGGGGAAATACTTGCCGCGATGTAACAAGACCAGCCTTGACAGAAACAACCAAAATGATTCTTGAAAGTTGGACAAAGAGTTCAGTTGAGCCAACCCAACAATGGCATTACCTTCCGTCAGTGGGTAGCACATCACCCGAAAAAAATTCACTGCTATTTTCATCTGTTCCAAATGGCAATAGTATTATTTACCTTTACTCGGACTGGTTCAATTATACATCAGGTCTTGAGCTTCGCCAATCAATGGGAATAACTTCATGTCCACCCAAATTAACGGTTCAAGTTCAATTAGTAGATGGTGCAAACAATTTAGTCTCAACTGATGTTTCTGATTTGTGTGAGACAAAAACAAATACAACATCACAAAAAATATTTCAATTAGCTCAGGGACAATTGGGACAACAGCATAGACTTCAGTTTGTCATTCACTGGGTTGAGGGTAATAGTCAAGCAACATTATCCGTTTCAGCTGTTGATCTATCTGATGCTTGTAGAGATGATAGGGTTACATGTTCAGACCATGGTACTTGTCAGGTCACTCAGCCTAATGAATATCATTGTCAATGTGAGCCTGGATATATGCGAGAGCGTTGTCAAAAGCCTGACTATTGTGTTTTAACCTTCCCTGAAAAAGATGCCACTGGCGCTACTACATCTATTAATGGTACAGATTATTGCCAACAAAGACTTGGAACTTGTAATCCTGAAACATTTGATCCAGTCATGAGAAAAATCTGTACCTGTGCATCAAATAACTACTGGAAATACGATGCATCAATAGGTCACTCTTGTGCCCCTCTCGATCCATGCACAGGTATCAATGTCTTCTGTCCTGCAGGATATGTTTGTAATGCTGGTACTACCTCTGATACTGCTACTTGCACAGCCTGTGACACTACTAACGGTTATGTTGCCGGTGCGAACGGTACATGTGTAAAATCTAGTCCATGTAGTTCAAACCCGTGTATTAATGGAGGTAAATGTAAAGAATATGAAAATAAGCCAGTCTGTTATTGTGAAAATGGTGCAACTTACGAGACCGCAACTGGCTGTGACTCAGATGTATGTTCATTAGATACCCGAGATGAGCTTGCTTGCTCTCATACTTGTACAACAACGCTGGGTGTATCACACTGTACCTGTTTACCTGGCTACGAGTTGGTCGAGAATACAACTAACTGTGAGCCAACATTTAATTGTACCGCCAACTGTACCAGCTCTGAATCAATTTGTCTTTTAAATGCTAATACACAGTCTTGCGGTTGTTTACCTGGTTATGTATTAATTAGCCCAGCAAATGAATGTGTTGACATATGCACAGCTGCAGCTTCAAATGATACACAAGCAATGGATCAAGTAAAGTCAATTTGTGGCTCCTCAACTTGTTCAATGGTAAACTCAAAGTTGACCTGTACTTGTTCTGCTCCCTACGTAAATGGTCCCGATGGTCGATGTCACATTGAAACTGCTTGTCTACCTGGTGGTAAGGGACACGCCCAATGTTCATCTAGAGGAGCAATGTGCCAGCCAAAGTTGTCAGCAACTGGACAAGATTTGTGGGAATGCATGTGTCCCATTGGAACGACTGTAGGAGCAAACAATAACTGTGTGGACCAATGTTCAATTGATGAGAAAAGTTGTCTTTTTGATAACGCTGTGTGCCAAAAGTCTTATCTGATAGGAGCCACAACTCATGATTGTGTTTGTCAGCCAGGGTTGAAGAAAAATGAAACTGATGGTCAATGTTATCTGATTGAGCGTTCGTTAAGAGTTGAGATGACTACTCGTCTAGATGAACAAGTATCAGCATTACTTATCTCTAAGGCACGGCACACAGTTAAATCCTTTTTCATGAGCGCTCCAACAATGGACGAAGTCTGTCCCTATTACGCACCATTAGATATACCCGGGTGTATAGATTATTTAACCACGGCCGCAGAAAACCAGTACCAAACACAGAAACCAACACTCATGGAGAAGGCTATCCGTCAGGAGCTGATAAACAATTTGCAGCTAGATTTAGCCAATGTCTATGGTAGTACTTTTGGCGACATCAAGATCATTGATTATAGTAAATTAAATGACGCAACTTCAGTGGCTGGTGATTATAAGGTTATACTGTCGCTTGAATTGACTGATCCAGAAACTGAAACCAATCTGATTCCATTGAATGATGAAGCTGTCTGCCATCCACTGCCCAACACAATTTCAGAAGCAGCATCTTATTGTGTAATACCAACTCACTCTGTTATACAACGGGCATCAATCCAACAAACTGAGCTGGTTCCATGTAATGAAACCTTGATTGATTATTGTCCATCCAATACCCAATGTAAAACTTTGGATAACAGTAGATTCAGTTGTGAATGTAATCCTGGCTTTAAAGCTGAAACAATAATACAAATGGATATGGATAGAACTAGTTATTACAAAGAGTATTGTGAAGATATTGATGAATGTAGTTCAACAACTAACCCATGTCGAGCCCACTCAAGCTGTATAAACACTATTGGAAGTTATATGTGTCCATGTAACCATGAATATATTGAAGACACCAAGACAGGAGAATGTATAAGTAAGTTAATTTAAAAATTAAACTCAATTATAAACAATATATCAAAAGAAAACTAAAATTAATCCTTTCATCGTCTGCTATTGTAGGTGTCTGTTCAACGGTTACTTGTGTTCACGGGGAATGTATTGTCATAACAAACAACACTGGATCTTGCAGGTTTGTTAACATTTAATCATTACAAGCCAAGTTTCCATTGATTTAAATCAATTTATTTTAATCTCTAGATGTAATGAAGGTTACCGAGGTGATACCTGTGAGGAACAAGATCCAATGGTGAAAACATTCCGAACAGCCTTGATTACTGTCGCTGTTGTTTTGGGTCTTCTCTTGATTGCAGTTGTTCTGGTTGCTGTTATCTTAATCAAAAAGTAAGTGTCACTAACAATCAATCCAACAATTTACACAACTAAAAACTGTTATCTCACAATTTAAAGACCAATAGGAATACAATTCAATTGAAATAAATTATTGTGGTAAATGTTTCAACAAATGTTTCAAACTAGCCAAACATGATTCAGTTAAAAAAGCACATTAATCACAAAAATTTTGATCAATTGTTCACCTTTCCTTTCCCCTAATCCTGATCAAATCTCAGTCCATTGCGAGCAAAGTTAAATTAATCAATCAGCTTTCAAATTATCATTAGAAGATTATCCACCAACCAAATACACCAAATTTTTAACCACTTTTACACCATCTAACACGTCCACTATTAATCGCCATCATATGCGAAAATTGTTGGACTGCAAAGCGACAAGTTATTGATCTATTTTTACCATTGATAAACGATTGATTAATTTGCTTTAATTATTGCCATTAAAAAGTTATCACTTTGAGTTTTCCTCTAAAAACAAACAAAGAAAACGTCTTTTTTCAGAGATTCAGAAGTTATCAGATTATTTTGCATTATTGTTGTGACAACAGATTGATAAGAATCTAAAAACACTCTTATTGATTACAAAGATGATAATAATACAAACTCAAGTTGAAACAATCTTAATTGTCAACTTGATTACTTACTAAAGCGGACATGCCAGTCAGTCTTAAGAGATGAAACAGTTTTCCCAGTAAAAACAATAATCAAAAGTCACTTTATTTTTGCCATTTTACCGAACCGAGGAAACGGCAAAGTGATAACTTTCAACTTTTCCCAACCATTATTATTATTATTATACATAAAACTATAAAAAAAAACAAATTGACCAGCAAGTTATAGATTTGATTCGATCGGTCCTCATTAAATTTAGGGCAGAGCAATCAAAAATACTACCTCCTGTTAAACATGTTCACGGTATACCCTTAACGAAGGTCGAACAGTTAAGAGGGCCTCTCGAGTCTTCTCATTTCTGGTGAGTTCTTCTTCTCCTCATCTAATCGTGATATTACAATTATATATAATAATATTAATAATCGTCACCCATCACCCTTCTCCCCCCTTTCATCATCACCATCATCATTCTAACCAAACAAGAGCTGAACACTTCCCAAGCAAGAACAGAATAAAGGAAAGAAAATGAAAAAAAACGAAAAGCAAAAAAACTCTGAGTGGAAAAATTGATTCCCTGTTGATTCCAATTCCATGATTATTCAATCAATCTTTTTTTTCTCTGTCACTCTTTCCTTCATCATCATCATCATCATCTTCCTGCATTTCATCATCTTGTTCACTCTTTACAGAACTAAAAGATCAGCCATGAAAAGCAATGCTGAACGACCGATGGCTGAATACATGGCTCAAGTACCCAAAAGATATCAGGATAACTCAGGATTTACCAACGATTAGATGGACTGCCTGTTAATCATGTTTATCACCTTTATGTACATGTTTAATCAAAGAGAAGAAAAAAAATTAACAAGAAAAATGTTTATGTAAAGATTATTATTGTATTTAGTTACTTTGAATCTGAGTTTGAAAGCTTTTTTGGTTTTGTCGATAAAAGGCAAAGTGAGTTTTTCAAGAGATGAACAGAGAAAATAAAAATGCCGAAATTGCCCTTTTAATCAACAATTTTGTAATTTATTAAACTAATTACATGAGAAAATATTATCCGTTCATTCAATAAAAAAATAGTTATTTTCTCATCTAGAAATATTCTTCTTCTTATCCTTTACAAACAGCAAAAAATGAAACAAATGATTACAATTGATGGATCAATTGGTTTACTGAAAGGAGCAACAATTATTGCAATAAGAATAACTTGGTTCCATTGAGATTAGGGATTCAATGATTTGATTGTTGGCTCAATGTTTATCCTCAAATTATCAATTGAAACAATGAGAATTCATAAAATAGTAAATAGAGTAATGTTTCTGATTGGTCAAACAAACATCCGAATATTAGTTTTGACTGACCGAGTATTAAAAAAAAGCTGAAGAAACGCTCAGTTGGATACTTTGTTCGAATCATGTTCAGGTTGGTTCACTAAAGTCATGTAAAGTGTTAGGACCTTCAAATTTTCAATTCACTCGCCTTAATTTTTATTCCCATTTAAAGTCTAACCAGACCTAATGTAATGAACTGAAACTATGAAAAATTGCCATTCTCAAGCTGAGACTACACTAGTAGTCAGGGTTAAGATAACAAAAAAGGGTCAGACTTGAGTTAATTTTTAGATGTCGCCATCTCGAGCATTTACCGTTTTAAGAGACACTGAACAATAGAAAACTGAAAAAGTTAATTCGATCTTAAAGGTAGATTTATTTGTTGTTAGATAGTGACTATGAAATAATCTCCAATTTGGTAAGTCAATGAAAGGTGAAGTCATTTTGCTACGAAAATTGAAATTTATTAAATTTATGATGTATTTTGTAAAATTTTCTCATTTTGAATCTTTGCTCTGCTTTGAACAAATGCTCTATCTCAGGAGTTTGGGTTTGGCGTGGTCAAGATCTTGCTTTCAGGGTATTTAGTAATTTCTTTGTAGTCAATTTCCTACAGTCACCACTTAATTAGACTGCTAACTCCATAGATCTACTATTTTCATTAGGAGATGCATTAAATCTTGAATAAATACAAGTTTTATATGAAAGTTGGCAGTTTAATTTAGTCATGTTAGCTGTATAATGTTTTGTATTTTGCTTTCCTTTTCTCATCGAATTGTTTCATTTCATTCAGCTTTCACCTGACTGGCAAATTGATTACGAATCGTATAACTGGGTAAAATTGGACCCCAACTCTGATGATACTAAAAAGAAGGTTAAAGAGTACTTCAGCTGGGAAGGAGACTTCGATGGCAAGAAGTTCAATCAAGGAAAAATATTCAAATAAATTTCTACTTTCATCTAATAAATACTTTTAACTTGGATTTTGTTTCTATTCAATTATTGTACTAGAGTTATAGCTTGGTTAGCTCTCAAAAAGCAATGATATGTCATTTCAAGATGAACTTCTAATGATTTCGTGTTTCCGTCTCAATTATTAGATGGTAGGTGTAACTTTTGTGAATTTTGAGAAAGTCATTTTTCTGAAAAAGTTGAAATTTAATAATTTATAATGTCATTAACATAGGGTGAAGAGATAATGTTGTTAATGGAAAAAGGATGATGGGGATAAGGTGGTTGTGGTTGATACTGGTGGTGGTGGAAATAATTATGTTGGAAGTGATGTTGGTCTTCAAAATATTGTTGATAATGAGGTTGATGATGTGGATGAGGTTGATTCTCAAGTCGAATATGTTGTTGTGGCTGATGTTGCTGGTGTTGTTGTTGGTGTTCTTGTTGTTGATGGTGATTCAGAACAATTTCATGGGGTAACTGAGATGGTTGTTCAGGTGTTTGTTGGTGGAGTGGATGATCATGTGGATGGTCTTGTAAAGTTGAAAGATTTTGATTGGAAAGTGAGTTTGATGAAGAAGGTGATGTTGAAACAGTTGTAATGTTTTTGTTTGATGATGAAGAAGATGATGATGATGTAGATTCAGATTTGAGACATTTGAATCTTTTTTGTCGTCGTAGGTAGCACCCATTTTCAAACATGTTACCCGACTCTGGGTGAAGTGTCCAGAACGAACCTTTGCCAGGTTTATCTGGCGTCCTCGGCACTTTTAAAAAACAATCATTGAACGACAAAGAGTGTCGAATTGAATTTTGCCATCGCTGCTGATTTTGTCTATAGTAGGGAAATAATTCCATGATGAACTGATAAATCTCTGAGAGAGTCAACATCTTTGAGGGCGACTGCTGAATGGCCATTGTGATTAAACTGATGTATGAATAAGGTGGTTTAGCATGTGAATAATTCCGTTGAGCTCTACACTGTTGCATATTGGCATGTTGGGCAGAACTTGTGTTGTTACTATTTCCGTTGGTACTTGCGGTGTTGGTGTTGTTGTTACTATTGGTGTGATGGTTGTGATGATGATGGCTGGTGATGGGAACACTTTGTTTAGTAACTGGTAGTTGGTTAAACGCATTCATGTCCATGTTGTTGATGTTGTTGAAAACAAAACTTGCTTTTGATGCTTCAACAGTGACTTGAACTCTTTGGCAAACGACAATAACATCAACTTGTACAATCGTACAAATTCATGGAAAGGTGGAGTTTCCATGTTGTCTTATCAACCAATCATGTAGAGAGAGGAGGAGAAATGGCAACTTTCATTATAAACAAGTTTCTTTAAAATGTATTGGGTTTGGGTTGAGCTCTGTTTCTCTTTCTTTCCTCTCTTTTCCTCTCTTTTCCTCTCTTTTCTTCTCTTTCTATTTTCTCTTCTTCTTTTTCCATTACTTCCTTTTCTTCCTTCTCTTCCGTCTCTCTCTCTCTTTCTCTCTCTCTCTTACTTCAAAGCGTATGAGATACAATAAACCTTTATCTTATAAACTCTTGACTCTAGTCATTCTTATTGTGACTCATTGTCGGATTATTTTCATCGGTTTAGCTGCTTTACCATCAATGCGTTGTTGGTTGCTATTGCAAGTCGATAACTTTTCAAGTAAATTTTATCTTTACTTTCACCAATTTCACACTCTCTCTCTCCAGAAAAATTGTGATAACAATTAAGATAAATTGATCAGCTATAGTAACGTGATAAGATGATTAATGAAGGCAATACTGAGAGGAAATAAACAAGAGACTGGTCGGCAAATTCAACTTTTTAGTTGAGATTTGGGACTTTGGGGATTTGTGGGTGCATAAAAACTGATTAGTGCTATTAAAAATGTCTCTTATCGACAGTTTTAGATCAAATCGAGGCCAAAGTTGAAACTTTGATCGTCTTTTTTCAATAATGAAACCAGATTTTTCCATGAATCACATTTTTTTTGATAATCAACCAACTTTTTTATAAAAACTTCTGTTTTCTGTAAAATAAATCACTTCGATTTTCAGTTAAATCGGCAGTTTTCTGTGACCGTAATAGTTAGAGATCTGGAACTCTTATGATCTGCTAGAAAAATATTCGGGACCGGCTTTTTCCACCACTTTTTTACCGTCTTTTCACCGAATTGTCCACCATATTGTCCAACACTCAATCTAACACAACCACCAAATCAAACATCACTTTTTAAAGAGACTTTCTCAACAAAATTGTCCACCACTTTAGAGTGGCTTTTTCCATGACATTTCAAACATTTTTTTACAAGATGATCCAGCACCCAAATCAACCAAATTGTTGACCACTTTTGGGATATGATGGCGATTAATAGTGGATGTGTTAGTTGGGTATTTAGTCATATCATATGCCCATGATAAAATCTAATGTTCGATGGAAGAATGGCAATTGTAAGGGTTACCATTCTCGAAATATTGAGAACCAAAGTTCTAAGGCCAATGGCCGAAATCAAGAGAACTACTGGTAAATTGAAAAAAGTGTGCTGTTCGAAGTTCGAAAAAGTTCGATTAACTGCGTTAAGTAAACATTTTATCGGTAAATAAATGAGTTTCATGAAAAAATCTGGTTGCATTATTGAAAAAAGACGATAAAGTTTCAAATTTGGCCTCGATTTGATCTAAAACTGTCGATAAGAGACATTTTCAATAGAACTAATCGATTCAGTTTTTATGCGCCTACAAATGCCCAAAGTCCCAACTCTTTCAACTCAAGAATTTGCCGACATTCCTTGCATTTTCATGTCCGTTCAAACTCACTATAATGATTGTAATGATCGCGATTCTCGAAATATTGTGGCTCAAAATTCATCAAGAGAACTGTGATTAAATTGTTAAAACTTTTCGCGTTTAATAAAATTTATGTGCGTTAAACGCTCGTTTGAATTTAAGTTTCCGTTATTTTCAAGTAGCAAAAAGATTCCCCAATCCAGGACTCGACCCTTTAACACTCACAATTGTTAATCAACTTGACCAATTATTTAACAACTGAGCTAGTGGTTGAATTAAATTTATGAAATGTATTGTATAAGCAGACATTGATGACTTTTGCTTGAATGAAAATTATTGCGTTAAATGCAAGAAAAGCAAATAGGCAAACGATTCTGCTAGCTCCCTCTTTTGTTGCTCCTTTTAACTTCTTATCTCTCTTATCTCAAGCTCTCATTGTCGTGCTATCTCTTGCTACACTATGAGTAAGGGTTAAGTTAACAAAATTGGAGATTTTCTGGGACCGGCTTTTTTCCACCACATTTTCAAACAATTTTTAAGAAATTTTTAAAAGATTTGATCACTTTTACACCATCTAACACATCCATTATTAATCGGATCCACTATTACCCAAAAGTGGTCAACAATTTGGTGTATTTGGGTGGTGGATAATTTCTTTGAGAAGAGTTTCTTTAAAAAGTGATATTTGATTTGGTTGATTTGGTGGTTGTGTTAGATTGGGTGGTGGACAGTATGGTGGACAATACGTGGACAAGTCTGAACCTTTCTTGTTAGCTTAACTCTGATTATTAGTGTATCCATTTTCAATTTAACCATTTTTACCTTTCTAGACAAATAAAATGTGTAGCAAAACTTGTTAATAATCAAAATAAAATTTAGAAATTCAAAGAAATTCAAATACTTCTAAAGGGTGTTCAATGTAATTGCTTCCAAACTGGCGGAGCTAAAATTTTGATAATCACATGATAAGCAAGATAACTAGAGTGACATCGCAATAACAAAGGTAAAGGATGAAAGGTAAAATGTGATTTTACTCTGGTTATCTTGTCTTATCATGTTTTTGATTGTGATTATTAAAATTTAAGCTCCGCCAGTTTGGAAGTAATTACATTGAACACCCTTTAGATATCTTGAAACGATTCATAAGTAACGTCTACAGTTACTCAAACGGCTTGGTTGAAATGTTTGATAAATGATTTTCGATTTAGAGCATATGAATAAGCCTCAGTTGAATATAGATTTGAAGACTGATATGAAGAACATAAAAATTACTCAACATGACTCAAGGGAAATAAAACTTCGCATTGAAAATCTACAAAAGTTACACCTACCATCTAATAATTGAGACGGAAACACGAAATCATTAGAAATTTATCTTGAAATGACATATCCTTGCTTTTTGAGAGCTAATCAAGCTATTACTCTAGCAAAATAATTGAGTAGAAACAAAATCCAAGTTAAAAGAATTTATTAGATGAAAGTAGAAATTTATTTGAATATTTTTCCTTGATTGAACTTCTTGCCATCAAAGTCTCCTTCCCAGCTGAAGTACTCTTTAACCTTCTTTTTAGTATCATCGGAGTTGGGGTCCAATTTTACCCAGTTATACGATTCGTAATCGATTTGCCAGTCAGGTGAAAGCTGAATGAAATGAAACAATACGATGAGAAAAGGAAAGCAAAAAACAAAACATTATACAGCTAACATGACTAAATTAAACTGCTAACTTTCATAGAAAACTTGTATTTATGCAAGATTTAATGCATCTGCTAATGAAAATAGCATAGCTATGGAGTTAGCAGTCTAATTAAGTGGGCACTGTAGGAAATTGACTCAAAGAAATTACTAAATACCTTGAAAGCAAGATCTTGACCACGCCAAACCCAAACTCCTGAGATAGAGCTTTTGTTATCTTCACCGAAGAGAATCATACTACCAAAGGCACATTTTCGCATTTTATCTAATCGTTGGAACATTCCTAAATTGAAGATGATGGATACGTAAGTAATCAAAGATTCAAAATGAGAAAAATTTACAAAATACCTGTGATTAGATTGCAGCTCATGAAAACTAGAGTAAGCTCTTCAGGGTACTTGTATTCACAAGACCAGATTGAGTAATTATCTTTGTCGAACTTTTCCCAAAAATAAGGGATGGATTTATCCTCGGGATTGTTTGAATAAAATCTCTTGAAGTCATCCATATCGAAATTACTGGAAAAGATAAGAATATGATGAGATTAACATAAAAATGATTCTTGTTAAGATTTCTTTTGATAATGATGCTTCTAAATCAAAAAATGATCGAAATTCATCATAAAATTAAATGTCAACCGAGTCTTACCCTTTAGGTAATTCAGCCCATGGGTCTTTAGTTTTTTCTTGTGGGAAACCGAGATCATCTCCGTCATCTTCAGGTTCAGCTTCCTTCTTCTTTTCTTTCTTCTCCTGTTTAGGCTTTTCTTCCTTCTTCTTTTCGGCCTTCTTTTCCTCTTTTTTTTCTACTTTCTTGGGGGCAGCTAAAATTAAAAGTTCCATAAAAAACTGATACTAAGCTTTATGCTTGATTAATAATAACTTACCACCTTCTTTGAAGGTTGGAGTTGATTCACAAAGAACAATTTCACCTAAAACTTGCTTAAATTGAGGCTGATTTACCAAAGTATCGAACCAACGTTGAACATTAGCATATTCATCTCGAAATTTAGCATCCACAATCTAAAATATGAATTTCAACATTAAAACGAAATCTTCTTGAGGTTTAAAGATCTGAATCTTACATTTTCATAAAGTGGAAGAAGGATTGAAAGCACAGTAACATCAGCTAAGGTTATTCGTTCGCCAACCAAATAAGTGCGGGTTGAAAGATATTTGTTCAAAGCAGTTAAAGCTGATTTAACTTCTGATTTAGCTCGTTCAACAGACTGTTGAGTAAAATATTACATTAAAATTAGAATCCCAGAGAAACTTTCAAGTAAATTAACATACAGGTCGAGAAGCTTCAATGAATCCAAGAGTTGGGTACATCCATGTGGCAACAGATTGGTACAAATCATTGTCAGACCAATCTATCCATTGTTCGATTTCTACCCTATTTTTATCATTGGCTCCTTTAAGTTGAGCGTTGGCAACTTGAATAGCAGCAGCATTACTACCAAATACAAATGAGCCATCAGCAAGCTCAAGAGTAGGAAGCTAAATAAACGTAAATATTCATTTTAAATTTACAGTTCTAAAGAAAAGGTTATTTTGAAATAGTGATAAACATACCTTTTGGATTGGGACAGACTTAGGAAGCTGTTTAAGTGAAGCAGTTTCAACTAATTCAACTTTAGATCCTGAGTATTGGCTTGCAATGAGAACTTTCTTGACCCGAAAGTCATTGGAATTTCCATAAAGCTTCTGAAAATAAATGAAAAATATGAGAAATCAACAACCGGAACGATATAAAATGTTACATATTGAAATGTAAGCAAAATAGAAGCATGGATTTAAATGGTTAAAAGAAAACGGTTAATACTGAAAAAAGCTGGAGAACCCGAAAAATATTAATTCAAATTCATCCAAAACATACCTGAGACATTTTGGTCAGTTACAAGTTGAATGGTAAACTAATTAAATGAAGCAAGAAGAACAATCAATTAATTTAATAAGAGGATTATAGTTTACTGATCAACTCAAGTAATCAACCTAAAATTTGCCAACGCCGGTCAACGGAAGTAGTTGGAACAAATGGAAAAAATTGTGTGATGTAAGAGGGGGCCGTTACCTCATTGCAACCAATTCATTGCATAAAGAAAGTCTCTCTTTTCAATGATTCAACTTGTATTTTCATTATTCATCAGCGAATGTCAATGGATAATCATTTAAATTGTCGGTAGATAAAAGTATATTTATTAAAAAACTGAATCTCGAGCAGTGGGTGTAATCACCCAATTAATAATCCATAGCTTTGGTTTACTGGCGGTTAATTGTCAGGTAATAATAATGGGTTGCTCAAGTTTTCCATAATTTTAAATTAAGTGATAACAATTAAGCCTAATTAAAAAACTGAATTGCTTGAAATAAATGTACTGAGTGTTAGATCAGGATTTTGTACTCTTGATTCGTCCTTTAAGCCATGTTTGTATTCCATATTTAAACCTATTGCCTTTTAGTCTTAATTCAATCATTGGCAATGATTGATTGAAAAATCAATTTGACGTGATATTTAAAGATTTATTGAAACATTAAATTTTCTTTTGAAAAATTTTATACACAAATAGAGAAAGTTTTGGGTTTTAAAAGGTGGATGAGCATTAAAAATGCAGTAGGAATTATATTTGATAATGATGATTATTACAATGTCATAAGAATAAAAAGCATAATTAAGGAATGCCTGGATTCTTAGAGTCTGGGGGAAGAAATCAATAAATACAAAGAAATCATTTTTTAATTTGCTTTTTAACACAGGTGAAAATCTGATTGTGGAACATAAAAGTGAGATTGACGTCGGTATAACTCATGGTGTAACGGACATTATGGACATGTTGCCAAAGAATTCTGTACAATTTTGTACAAGAGGCACTTTTAGCATCTAGCTCACCTAAAATAACAATAAGAAATATTAAATAAATTAGTTTCAGTGAATTATACAAATTGGAATAAACATTTGAAAAAAAACTTACTTCTTTCAGATGCACTAGATAATGAATTTAAAGCGGTATCACGGTCAAGAAGAGTTTCATAAAATAAAAGTTGCTGATGGAGTTGACGATCTGTAATCTGTAAAAGTAAAAATTGATTAGTCAATAGATGAATTAATCTCAAAAGAAAATAATATTTACCTTTTGATCCATATCTTCATGGCAATATGGACATTCTAAACCTTTATCACTTCTTCTATCACGGTAATAACCCCAACAACTTCTAGTTTGGAAGTTACAGCGACAACAAATCACCCAACACTTCTGATGTTCATCCAAAAGATTCCTTAATATGCTGACGAAATGATTGATTATTCGATTTTCATAAACTTCTAATGTTAGATCAATATTACAATGAGGACAGCGAGCAAGACTTAAGTTGATTCGTTTTTTAGTAACTGAATCAGTCCTAAAGGCGTCTCTAAATTCAATTATCTTGGCACATTTATCATTAGGACATGGAATCTTAAATGAATTACATCCATCAAATTTCATATCATCACTCAAAGGAATATCATTTTCTAATTCATCACGGGAGCTACGATGAATTGAATTTGATTCGATTCCCATGACTTCAGCCATGATATGAGAGTCAGTTCCTTCGATGGGTTCACAAAGACGAGAAATGGTTGGAAGAATTTGTTGGCTTATGTAATAATTGGGATCAATCTTGAGGGAAGGTCTCTCTTTAAGCTCTTCGGGATGGAAAGCTCTTTGGGTTGCGGGTAAACTAGCAAAATCAGGATTACTTTCGTCAATACAAATAACGTATTGCACACAATCTCCAGCTCGCAATTTCCTTTCTAGTTTTTCATCTGCATTTCGTCGAAGTGCGACATTGACATGTATCAAACTTTTCTTATCTGCGTAATCTTCTGGATTTTTAGTTAAAGATTTGGTTATTTCAAAATCTTTGAGTTGCTCAGGAGTGAATATTCCGGCTTTAATGAAATCTGACCAAAATTTCAACCTGTCGTGTATGGCATCGACAATATCTTGACTTGATTTGCCAGAGAGGATTTCATCCAGTATTATTCCACCGACTTTTCTAGCGATTAGAGACCAATCACGACGAACAATATCCAATCCTTTCATTTCTCGAGTTGTCTTGATCGAGTTACGATCACGGGAAATAGAAATAGCTGCATATTTCTTTTTCTTTAATAATAACATTGGACGATAAACTCCATCAATACCAATCTCAAGTAGACGATAAATTTTGTTAATTTCAGCTTGAATTTTACGACCAGTTTTCATTACTTCATCGTAATCACTACAACTAGTGTTGATCATAATTGAATCAGTGTCACCATAAATAACCTCCAGTCCCATTGTTTCAACTAAATTTTTAGTATGCATCAAAATCTCTCGTCCTTTAAAAGTAATTAAAGCAGCAAGTGGTTTCGCGTAAAAACGAGCATTGGAAAAACCAAGACAACCATACATAGAGTTGGCAGTAAGTTTGAGAGCCTGCTGTTTGATGTCCAATTGATCTTGTACGTCTTGTGCTTTCTCTTGTAACATAAGTCTTTTAACCTCTCTTCTGCCTTCTACAAGTTTTTTAATTTCTGTAGGTAAAATACCACAGGCTTTATCGGCATCAGGGACTTCAGGTATTTCATCACCATTTTCATCGATCTTGACGCGATTTCTGTTCACTGTAGTGAAGCATATATTATACTCTTGAATAATTGAGGGGTACAACGAGTTGAAATCCATAAGCAGGATATACGAATCATAAAAGCCAGTTTTCGGATCTAAAACTAATCCACCAGCATAAGCAGCCTTCTTTTTACCACCTTTAGCAGCTTCAGTTCCATCTTCATTTTGTCCTAATGGAACAACTTCATCGTTGGATTTGTTGTCATTGTATTTTGGGATCACTTTGTCAGGTAAAATGAAGTTTTTCTCGTAAAAAGCATGAAGTAAAAGATATTCGTTTCTTTCAGCTCTTCCACCCATTAAAGTTCTCGAAAATAGATTACCAGCGATTTTAGTTATTTGCATAGCCAAAGGTAGAGCGCTCAACTCATACATTATACTCATGATGAATCTATTATCAGCTAATAAAGCGTTGACGTAACTGAAAAGATTTTTAACGCTACCATATGCTTCAGAAATAGACGAAGGACCCAAAAGGCGTTCTTTTTTCAAAACTTGGACAATTAGTTCATCTAAATCATAACTTTTAGCTTTGATAAATTCTTTGGCCATTATTTTAACGTCACAAACCAAACGTCCAGATGTAACTGCCATTTTATCCTTTTGTGATTTAAGGGCTTTAATTGAGCTTCTTCTAAGACGACCTAAACGAGACCAATTGATTTTATCATTGTAATGGGTTTGACGATTTAGAATAATGTTGATATCAAAGGCAGAATCATGGCCGACTAAAACATCAGGATCAAGTCTACCCAAGTTTACGAGGAATTGGTTCAGCATAAACTGTTCATTATCATATCCCTTGATTAGATTTTCATGACCTTTGACAAATTTACGAGCAGCTTTTTTGAATTCAGGAAGTAGATTAATACCCGAAGGTGAGGTAATTAAACAACAGCTTTGGTCAAGATCCAATGGACTAGAGGGAGTACCACCATCAATTTGATAATCTTTTTTAACAAAACACGAAATGGCGATAATTTGATTTAAATAGGTTCTCACATTTAAAGATGCAATCATTAAAGGTGGGATGGTGACATCATCAATATCAACTGTGATATTTTTAAAAGAGTAGTCCATCGTAAACTCCTTTTTACACCACGAAACAGGGACATTTACAGGGTGGAGATTTTTCACTCTAATCCAACCAGGACCTCGAAGATTAACCTCAATTATTAACCGTTCTAAAGGTGTTTGAGAAGTACCAAATACTTTGGAGAACGTTGAACCTTTCAAATCAGCTGGAAGTTGAGGATAATTTGATCCATAGATTACTTCTAGGTAATCAGCTTGATATGGTACATCAGGCTGGTCAAATGAATAAAATTTTGTAACCTTTCGACTCTTGAAATTTTTAATCCGATGATTTGGGGCGATTACATCAGTGAATTCTTTGTGAACTTCAGAAACTGGAATTCGACTGTCTCCTTTCATGGCTGGAAGCAGATAAACTTTTCTTTCGATCTTTTCAATAATCAAACAGCAACTCTGGTAATCACATGAAGTCTTTGCATTCGACTTAGCCTTTATCTTGCCAAATATATAGACTCTTCCGTGGAAAGGACCGAGATCTTCGTAAGCATCTAACCAGTACATCTTTAAATGAGTAATTCCATCTTTATCAACAAAAACAGCTAAATCTTTATCACCAGTTACAGTTGTAGCTTCTTCGTCAGCAATACCCTGTAGACCAAATGTCCAAGATTCCTGTCCACCAAAATCAAACGATGCATCAGGAACATCATCATCGTTTTCTAAATCATTAACTGGATCTTCAAGAATACTTTTATTCTCTTCTTGGTGAAGAGAATCAAAATCGATTTTTGCTTTTTTAACTTCAGAACCATTAACTTTGGTCTTAACTGAAGCTGGCGAATTTTCTTGTTCAAGTTTTCTTTTTTGAGATGGACTGCATGATAACTCCAATGGCTTAAGTAGTGAAGCTCTACGACTTGATTGTGGTGTATTATTTTTGGAGCCAAACATACCTTTTAAACGTTTGGATGTTGAAGCTAATACCTCATATGCGTCATCATTGTCTTGGTCTTCTGGTTGAGTCTCTTCGACTTTAACTTGCAAAAGGTTTGATGGTTTAGGCGGTTTTATTTTCTTTACTTTGTTCTTCTCTTGAGAGTCCTCTTCTTCCTCTTCATATTCATCTGATTCACTATCGTACTGTCGTTTCCCTTTCTTCCCGTTAGTAGCTTGACCAAAATATTTCTTTATACTAGGTGTATCATCAACCACGAAATCATCATCTGAAAAATCTTCTTCAGCTCCTTCTACGAAAAGATTTTCCTCTTCTTTCATGTTATACTTGTCTTCAGCAATACCTTTCCGAACTCTAGACAATTTGTCCAAAGCAGCCTTGACAGCGGATTTTTTACCTTCCACTTCAAGTTTAGTTCGACCTGTTAAAGAAAATGGAGAACAAAAACCAAAGATTAGGCAAAAACAATAACATAGAAAACAAGGTCTTGCCAAAACACAACATTTCCCAAATGTAAGAAAACATTTTTACACTTTTACATTATAGACACATGAAAAATATGTTTAACTTACGTGCTGATCGAACTTCCATGCTTGTAAATAGTAATTTAAAACACAATTAAAAGAAAAACACCAATAAAATTAATTAATAAATTACCAAGCAAACTTAAAACCTAATAAATGGAGGTATGTTTACAAAAGACGAGTTTGGGCGCCTTTTCTCCTAAACAAGCGGGATCAAAGACTGTCTCCTAAAGTGAGTTTGGCGCAATATCTTCTCAGTAAAGCGCTTTTTTTAAACAATTCTAGGTTTTTTAAATCGATCGCTCGATTAACCAATTAGCGATTGCTTAATAATTAGGCTTGCTATTAATATTTTGTCAATTAAATCCACCTCTTAATGAAACAGATAAACACAATTTATAATATTTAAAATAAAACAGAGCGAAATTCATGCTTTGAAATAATAAGCAAATGTGAAGATTTTAGTTTATGCTCAACTATTAAACTTTATTTATTAATAATGATGATGATGATGATTCATTATTATCTCAAATGTAAGACAGTTTAACTTTTAGATTATTGGTTTAATAGTGAATAGGAATTGATTCTGACGAGCCAAGCATGAAAATTTAGTAATGTTTAGTCCTCACTTTACTTCTTGCAATAAAGTGCAGTTTTTTTTGTCAAAGATTGTGTCAAAATTTTAAAAACATGATTTGACTTTCACTTTGATTATTATTTTTTCCATTCTTTTTCTTCTTCGGTCAAGTTAATTTGAGAAGAGAAAACAAAATACTCTTTCTTTCTTTTGATTAGAAAGAGCAAGGAAATAGTGTGAATATAAAAGTAAGGAATCAAAGAATATTTGAAGAAAGAGAAGCGATTAAAGGGAACGTAAAGTCTTTCTCAAGGGAAAGGTAGAAATGGATCAAATGGATCATCAATTGAGAAAACATTTTTTGTACCATTTAAGAGGGAAAAGTAAGAACATAAATATATATGTATAGATGCAATCGTAACTTAATTACCAACGTATACAAAGAGTTAATAAAAGTAACATTTTTCTTCCAAAACAGATCTGGAACAATCAAAATGAACAAACTACAGAGTTGGAAACTGTCCTTTTGCTTTCAAGAAATATTTAAGTTGGCTTCATGGATATTCCTGAATCGCTAAATGTAGCTTCGCTTGTTCCCTCCAAATCATCATGCTTTGTCTGATTTGTGGTGATTTCATTGAAATGGGTTGAGTCAATTCTATTGGCTTAGTAATTAAGCTTATTGTTCTTCCAACAAGAGAGCTGGTCTTTTCCTTTGTAATCGGAAAATGTGAGCATAAATTTTAAGAGCAGGTCCTAATTTGAGCTTGAACCCAGTAATAACATCCTTCCGACTAAGAAGAAGTAAACTTTTACCATCGATTTGATGTTCTGAAAAGTTTTCAGCAGCATCTGGGAAACCAATGAATTTGATGAAATTGTGAACATCTTCAACTGTCCAAATATTAGTCTCGGCAGGCAACAAGCTTTCAGCTTTACATGCTCTGAAAGTATAAAAAAAATAATTAATCGTTAGTCATAATACTTGGATTAATAAATGAATTTATCGACAGCGTTTAAATGATAATCATACCTTTCGAAAAGAACTAGTTTAAGTCTTTTAGCACCATTTGAGTCTTTTAATAGTCGAGCAGTTTCTTCAGTTAGTTCTACTGGTTTGCTCAATATAAATCCTGTACCTTGAATTTCACTAGCGTCTTTTTTGGATACAGTGACTTTTGGCGGAACAGGAGGCTGCATTCCATCAGACTTATTTCCATTTCCTAGATCATTCAAGGAAAGTAATGCATTTCCTCTTGTTGGACCATTGGCTTTAAGAACATTCATGGGATTACGATTATTTTCAGATCGCTCTTCTGACATCCTTCTATTTTCATTTGACGATTGTTGTTTTTCGTCTTTATCTTTCACCTCTTTAGATCTGACCATATTATTTTCCCTCTCAGGCTCAACTTTATGTCTAATTATTCTAGGCCTATCTATATACTTGTCTTTTACCTCTTTAACTAATGGTTTTTCGGTAAAAGAATCTATCATATCTACATCAGGTAGATCAATGCTACTTCGATTATCATTTACGACTTGATTAACTCTCATGGGACGCTTAGAGCTAACTAATTCAATATTCATTGGCCGTTTTGTGCTCACTGATTCAATGCTCATTTCACGCCTAGAATTGATTGAATCAATGCTAAGAGGGCGTTCAATTCGCTTGGCCCCAGTTGAATCAATGGTTATCGGGCGTTCAGGTCTCTTAGGTCCAATCGTTTCAATGCTCATAGGACGATCAGGTCGCTTGGAACCAGTCGAGTCAGTATTTATGGGACGATCAGGTCGCTTGGCACCTATTGAACCCATGCTCAAAGGACGTTCTGGCTTTTTAGAGTTGGCTGATTCAATGCTTATAGGACGTTCAAGTCTCTTTGAACTAGTTGAATCGATACTTGGAGAGCGTTCATTATGCCTTTTAGCGTCAATATTCATAGGTCGCTTGGAACTCATCCGATCAATACTTGCGGGACGTTCAGGCCTTTTTGCAAATGGATCATCAATTTCAAGGAGTTTTGTGCTAACTGCCTCAATGGGCATAGAACGTTTAACAACCGTTGAATCCATGCTCATGGAGCGCTCTGGTCGTTTAGAGCCTGCTGAGTCAATGTTTATGGGACATCCAGGTTTCTTTGGACCAATTTGATCAATATTCGCAGGACGCTCAGGTCGTTTGGAACTCATCGGATCTATGCTTGCAGGACGTTGAGGCGTTTTCACAGAATTAATATCATCACTTCCAGGTTTAGGTTTAGGTGGGGGTTCCACATGACGGGGTCTGATGACCCATCTTGTAAATGACCTTTTAACTGTTTGAATATTCATTGGGCGTTCAGGTTGATCTGTTTTCTCTGTCTTTTCTTGACGCTCTGGTGTTTCTGTTTTTTCTTGTCTTCTAGAACTATTAGAATTGGCATTCACAGAACGCTCAGGTCTTTCTGAGCGTGTCGGACGTTCAGTTTGATCTGAACGTAAGGATCGCTCATTATTTGAAGTTTTTTCATTGTTACTGGGCTTCTGTTTTTCAGTTATCAACTCTTTTTTAACACTTAACGAGGCTCTTGATGTTGATGGTGTGGATGATGATGATGAAGGATGAGAAGTTGTTATATCGGGTGATTTATCTTCAGAGTGACTTTTATTAAGAGTTTTCGCAACTCTATTTTGACGAAAACCATGGAACCGTGATATTGGTAACTGGGGTTTTTTACATTGTAGACAAATCCATTTTCCTATGAAAAAAATATCAAGTTTAGTAATTTTACATTGATCATCATGCAAAATGTAAAATAAAAATGGAGTAAAAGCTCACCTCCCGAAGATGAAATAGATCTTATGCATTCATAATGATAGGACAAATCACACGTTCGGCAAAATATGAGCTCGCTCTGAAAAATAGAAGAGTTGATGCAGGGTTAGATAAATAATAAAATCTGCTAACAGACAGCAGTAATTTCCATGTTTGATAAGTTGATATATAATTCGTATAATTACCTGGTCAACTCCAGACTCATCACATTCGTAACAGTGTCTACAATTAAGGCACAGCCATAAAGATTTTATATATTTTACATTCAGTTGAGCTCTAATACAGCTTGCATGAGCTTTAAGAAGAAGCGCACAAAAGAAAGGGAAAAAAATAAACAACAAGTTTGAATGATTAGTAATTAGTGGTTAGTTTAATATTGGAAAGGGTATAAATGGAATGATCAGGTTTCGCTTTGACAAAACCATGATCAATATTATATTCACAATTTAAAATAAAATACCTTGGACAGGGCATTTTCTGCATGTAATAGAATCTCTTCTAGAGCCACTTGGTAAACCATCTTGGCAAATGTCACATCGAACATCGGATTGTGCTTCTTTCCCATGTAAACCAAGATTAGAAGGATCCAAAAAATCAGGGCCTAAAGATTTTTTAATTTTCTGTCAAAAAATAAGATAAAAGTAAGAATGAGAACAAATAAACAACCAAGCATGATAAATTAGTGGTATAACAGTCAGATGTGATCGACTAAAGTAGAAGATTTGGGTAATTTCATTTCTAACATAGTAAAAACAGTTTGAATCTATGAAAATTTATTCCTGTGATACTAATTGGTGAAAACAGAGAATTTTAAACACACCAATAATAAGTAATTGGGTTACAATTTATGAAATTAATAGTTAATATAAGGTATAACAGCAAAAAGAAAGAAACAAAACAAAATTAACACTTACCTTTCTTGTACTTTGCCTGGCTCTCTGAAGACCACTTTGCTTCATTTTTGTTTTCTTCACTGTTGTTTACAAGTATTTTAAGTAAAATAATGGATAAAATTAAACTTAAATCTTTAAATTGTGGTTACAACAGTTCACAATTGTAATTATGAAGAATGAACGTAGCTTATTGAAGATTAAAAGCGATCAAGTACCTGTAACATGATAAAAAAGCAAGGAAAAGAAAGACAAAATAAGAGTGAGTTGAGTGTGTTAGGATGAAAACCAGCAAGATACTGACAATGTGTAGTTAAGAAGAGGAAAGAGAAACCTCGGTCACAAGGAGAACAAAACAGATTGGTTAGTTTTTGATTGAAATGAAATAAATTAAACATTGGAATTGTTTCAGTATTGAAGAATCATAACTATACACATTACTTCAACAAATTAATTGAAAACTGTACAACTAGATATGTATTGAAACAGAATTCAAATAAATTTGTTAGAAGCCGTGCATTTTTAGGTTGAATTCAAACCCAAAAACCAAAGTCTCCGCATGGTTATTTAGCGGTAGAGAAGCCATCAAGACTTCAAATATTAGGGACAAATTTGGGTAACAATGAAGTGGCCTGATGTTTGGATTATTCATAAATCTATTTTATTCTATCGATGATGCTGAATTTACTAATGTTGCTACTGATCAATAGAATGGTAAATTGTATGGAATAGGTGACAAATAGTTGAAAAGTATGAGTTTTGGAGATTTACTTGTAATACTCACGTAATTACAAATATCTAAATTTATAGAATGATCAATTCAGAATTAGCTTCATTAGATTATTGAGAGCACAAAATTGAAGAGATTTTAATGGACTGTAATGGAATAGATTGAGATTAAATGAAATTGAAATGAGAAAAGCTAGCTTGATCCAGAAGAATGCAGGTCAATGAGAAAACAAATGTTTGTAAACAGATGATACATGATTTGATTAGGTTTGCATCGTTATTTCTTAATAATAAAAATTTGAAGGATGCCTACATTAAAAGAAATACATACAATTTAGGAAATATGGTGAGCCTAACAATAATGGTAAATATAATGAATGAATAAATGGAATGATGAAGATAGTATTGGGAAAGATGGCTGATACTGGTGATGACTGTGGTATTAATGCTAGTTGATAATTATTTTAGATACTTGCTCATAAGTGTTGAAAAGCCAAATTTTAAATTAGAATAAATGTAAAAGAAAAAAATACAATTGGTTAATAAATTCAAAATTGTACATTTTTCCTCCATAAAAATTTCTGTTAATTTGGAGAGCAAAAGGAAGAAAAGTAGCCAAAATTATTCAACTTTCTCGTCCTATTTCATTATTAATAGTGATTAGGGGTCATATTTATATTCAATAGTCAAAGATACAATTAACTTACCCAAAATGTGGAGGTAATGAAATTAATCAACACCAATTAAAGAGATTATGACCAGCAAAAATCAGCTCACAAACGATTGTTAAACCAAGAAACCAGCATAAGGCTACTGCATACAGAAATGAAACAAGCAGACAAAACACGGTTTACAAAAAAAAACCCAATAAACAATTAACTGCCGAGCACAGTAAAACTCTTAAATCTTTGGCTCAGTGGTCTATGTTATGTTAACGATAGGTTAATCTATGGTAATATTCACTAATTTTTAAAGTAAATTACTGAATTAAGTGAAAAAATGTAATCATCTACCAATTGTTTTAGAAACAAACATTTCACTTGAAAACAACTCATCGAGCTCACAAATGTTAATAGTATCTTGAGGTAGGGTCTAAATGTATAGCCATAAAAATGGACTTACCTTTTCTTTCAATTAGAATTTAAAAGAAAATTAAAATGTTTAAGATAAAGGTTACGTTGATTAAATTGTAAATTGGTTAACAAAATGATAGTCAATATTTAATCGAATTAACGGGTAAAAAAAGCAGACAAAATCAACTGAAAATAAGAGAAAAGCTGATCGCAATAACATACGGTCCCTCATTGATCTATCTGTCACTTGGAAATAATTTCAAATGATTTTTTGTTTTAAATTGTGGTTGTTTAGGTCTGTGTCTATTTAATAAGCTTTTTAGGTATAATGTCTTGTGGAAATCATGAAAGTAAGTATTCGATTTAATTACTGATTTACTTATCCTCTATTATGAGCATTTATTCTGATTCTATTCATTCGTTAATGTTTATCTCTAATGTTACTAACCAGCCAACCACTCGTTTGTCAAAACATATTCCCAATCTGTCCTTTTAATTTCTAATTTTTTATTGGCCTAACACTAATTAATAACACTTATGCTAAAATAATGCTGTATAATCTAATATTGTTTTATTTTCCTTTATTTTTTCAGTTTCAGACTACATTTTCGACCTTCCAATGAAGATATCCAGCAGTTATATGCCCAAGTATTTTCACATTGAAATTCCGGAGATATTATCAATAGATGAAGATGAGGTTAGTCGAAATAATTTTCTCTATGCGTTCCTTCAATGGTGACTAATATACATCTTATCTCTTTCCCTTCTCTTTTTATATGCTTGGCTTTCTTTGGCTCATGTATGGAAACATCGCATCGTTATCACAGGATGCTTATGATTTTAAAATTGAAAAGGAAGCTATCAACATGGCCGAGGTTGCAGAAGAGGATAAGATTAGAGAAACAGAAAGATTACTCCAATCTGGACAGCTCAAAGACTTCACCAAGCTAAAAAGCTTCGATGATGATCCATCAATGGACCAGACAAGTAGTATTTCACCAATTTTACCAGGGTCACCATGTTTATCAATACTACCTGCTGTCCCAATTAATGGAATTGTGTCAAGCTTACCGCCTCAACCTGCAGTAAATACTATTTCTCCTCCTGTACCACAGCCTCCACCACTACCAGCACCGCCAACAGTGTCTGTAACTCTATCAACATCTTTACCTGGACAATTGTCTTTACCAATTCAGGGGTCCATTCCGTCTCATCCTCCATATCCAATCACAAATATCACGAGTGCTATTGCCAACAGCATTACATCAAATGTAATTAATTGTTCAAATGATAACATGAATAATGTTACCAACAACATCGCTCATGGCTCATCTTCGGCAGCAGTAGCCGCAGCATCATCCTCAACATCTACAACAACAAATCCTATTCCAGTCAACAGCGATTTTATAATAGATACTGATGTAATATATAGTTTTAAGATGGTGGATCAAAATAGTATGAAGTGTAATAATGATGTAAATAACGCGATAATCTCGAGGAGAAACTCTGTGCCTACCAGTTTGTGCACATTTCAAGACAATTTAGGCATTTTACGGCCCATGCCTTCTCAATTCAGATGTGATTCTAGTAAATCAAATAAGTCTAAGCAACAAGAGTTTATTCCAAAGACTAGAATCGATCCTGCAGATTTTGAGAGCTCAAGCTCTAGTCCATTTGATGATGCTCTTCTAAGGGCCATTGATGATAAACAAGAACTTAATCATGTCTTTCAACATTATTAATAACAATTCCATTTGTAAGATATTAAACCCTCATATTAAACCAATTATGGTATATTTATGTTTACCCTAAAATACACCAACACTCGCTTTAATCTAAGAAGTATCCTCATTTCATACCAATCTTTGAATACATAATATGTAATTCCATTTATGTTTTATCATTTTAATCATGTGACGTTTCATTAGTCATCTTAGCTTTTCATTACCTCGTCATTAGGACAAATTGATAAAAGAATTCATAAAACTAGTGATAAATATTTCGAGGCCAACCAGCTCAATTCAAATTTGTACTGATATCAAGGAGCTGCCCTTCAGTTGTTAATGAAACAGAAAAATCTACTCTATATTAATCAATATTTTCTCAGTTTTTTAATTTTATTCAATCCATCTGATGATAATAGACATTTCTCATCTCAACTCAATCAACTTGCTTCACAATGATCTAACCAATCAGTTTATTACCATTTAAAATGTTGTTAATCTTAACTGTGATATTGACATTGAATAGTCACTCATTTCATTTTTCAGATTAAAAATCTCTCAAATTGACTGCACTCAATAACTTTTGTTAAAATAATAATATCTCGAGAACGAAATCAAATCAAGTAATATTTATAAAAAATTTAATCTTAACTTTATTTTTGTTGGAATTACTAAACAGATTAACAAGACGAGCAACTTCGCCCTCTGCTAAAACCAAGAATAAAATCAAGAATCATCTCAACCATTGCATGAAAAGCAGCTTCACCCAATCTTCCTAAAAACAAATCAGCCGCATTGATTACAGCCTTTGGTGGGTCAGTTCGAAATTCATGGAAAAATTGTCGGATTCGAGCGAAAAAACCTTCTTGTCGTTCACTGGTCATTAAATTGGTATCACCATCTTTGATCCATGGAATCCAATGCAGATCATTAGTTGGAAGCGATGGCAATTGCCTGTGTAATTCAGCTGATTGTGGCAGTTGTGAGAGTTTGTTTGTTATCCAATGATTTTGAAACAATGTTGAATTGGATGTTAACTTTGGCGTTGTAGCAAACATTGAACAGTGGGCACAATCAAGAAAACTCCACAGGATCAAAATTAAGCAAAAGATGTTGATGATTTTTCCAGACATTTTTTACACCAAATATCAATATAACTGGATTAAACAAATAATATTTAAAAAACAGTCTTGGTCTAAATAAATCGAGAAGTGTCTCTAAACATAATTGCTGACAAAATTCACAATTTGAAGACGATGTGTTGATAACGATCAACTAATCAAATTTGTTGCTGACATTGCCTTGAACTTGAATTTTCACCTTCAAGAGTTACTAAATTGTCACGTTAGGTTGTGGTTGGAGCAAATTTTATTTGACAAAAGAGGTAATCTAATAAAGTCTCGATTAGTAGTGCAGAACAATTTCGGAGCCGCAATTAAAGAAAAATTAATGCTATTAATGGACGTCTCAGTGTGATTCGCTTTCTCTCGCCTTTACATAAAAAAGCTAAAACATAATTTCTTCAAGCTTTTACCATCAAAATCATGGTTAAGCGCAATAACTAAAAAAGTGACTAAATCCTTTATTATTTAACACTTCTCGAATGCAATTTTCAGGATTGATAAATATTGAATGATTTAAATCAGATTTTAATTGATTCATTCACACCTTTTGTTAGAAGTCCTGGACCAATCTGGTTAGCTAGGCTCTATCAGTAAAAGGCATTGTACTCAACGTTTTTTGTTAATTTTAACAATACGAAAGATGCTCACTGTAAACAATACAAATTTTTTTGTTAACTTTGCTAATAGGATTCAACTTTCAATTGTCATAATGATCAATAGATAGTCGTTGATTACCTGTGCACCCGTTCGCTTCGTAATCAAGAAATATTTCAGTTTCTTACAAATTATTTAAGCTAATTTTAAATTTTCCATAAACTGTGCATGTTTAATACTTGCCATTACTCAAACCCATTCCTATTGAGAGCAAGGAATTAGCAATTTGTTAGTCTGACAAATGTGAGTAGGAACCCAGATTAGATAGCTATAAAATATACATATTAGAATTGGTAATTTGGATCAATTGGAATTAGAATGGATTGAATGTTTGTTTTCAGATTTAGTACGTTCAAAATTCACCTCAGAAGGTCATTATTTTATCTTATCTGAGGACTTTACCCATTGACACAAAGAAGCATATTTCGTTCCTGTAACTTATCTTAATTCAGTCTATACACAGAATAACAATAGTAATCAAGCTAATAAAGCAGATGCTGAGAGTCCAAAGTGTGAAAATATTAGTAGATCAAGTTAAGTGTATTAATAATATGATTTTTTTACAAAATACTTTATAATTAACAATCAAAATTGAAAAAAGCTGCAAAATTTAAAATTTACCGACTATTAAATTATTGCATAGTTTGACGATAGATGTCATTATAAATGAGCTTAAAACTTGTTTACATGTTAATTTAATACAAACTGGTAAACAATTGTACTTCACTTTAGTGATTAGACAGGTCTATTTAATCAAGTTTCCGTGTCTATTATTGATTTAACACATTCCAACTAATTTCTCGATAAATGACCATGAAGACGATTAAAGTATTGCCGAACCTGGATGTTGTTAATAGTGAATTGAGACAGATAATTCAAGAAACTTATGACAACTGTAAAAAACGTTTGTTTACAATCGGTCTTTCTGGTGGTTCAGTGATCACTTGTTTAACAACTGTCTTACCTACTCTTCAGGTTAACTGGAAAAAAGTCAGATTCTTCTTCTGTGATGAAAGGATAGTTCCTTTTGACGATCCTGAATCTACATTTGGCTGTTATTGGAAAGCTCTGGAGGGAGTTATACCCATTGAAAAGGACCAGTTTATCGAAATCGATCCGACTTTGGATGGTGATGAAGTTGCCAAAAAATATGTTCAAAGAATTGGCGCAACAGCGAATGTTGATCGCGCTGGATTTCCAGTATTTAATCTCTTACTTTTAGGAATGGGTCCAGATGGTCATACGGCATCGTTGTTCCCAAATCACAAGGCATTAGAGGTTGGTTAGCTGATAGTCAAAGTCCTGATTTCTTGATCAAACTCTACTATTCAACGAAGATAATGATTTAGTTTGTAATTAATTTGAAGGCACTAAATTGCTTTTCTATTCTTTATTTAGGAAACCAAAGAATGGGTTACTTACATTGATGACTCGCCTAAGCCTCCACCAAAACGAATAACACTGACTCTTCCTGTTATCAATAATGCTGAGACGGTTATTTTCGTTTCCACAGGAGCGTCAAAAGCTGAAATTTTGAAAGTAAATTCAATTTTTTAACCAAATTTAAGTACATTACATATTTTAGTAGAATCGTATTTGTAACCAAATTGTAATCTTGATCAACTTTTTCAATTTCAGAAAATAATTGTCGAAGGAGAAGATTATCCAGCCGGAAGAGTAAACCCTAAAAAAGGAGAATTATTTTGGTTGCTTGATAAAGCTGCTGGCTCGCTACTCCCGGCAGAAATGGGTGGCTCGGTGGTGTAGTGGTTATAATTGTCCATAACTTACATATTTCCTTGTTCAAATCAATTTAATTTTGGATGATTTTTTTAATTTTAAAGCTACGGGCTTCTCGGATTAAACAGTGTTTATGATATGTGAATTAGTCCTTACTCTGGATTGTGCTTTTTTCAAGCTCGACTGTTACATTTCAATACATTACCTGTTGCATATTTAATATTTAGATTTCTATTCAGCTCATCTATAAGCAAATTGAAGTTATGATTTATTTTTGATAGCAAGCAAGGAAGTCAATTTATGTCTGATTTCCTTGCGACATTTATAGGTAACATAATAATTAGTTGAAGCGAGATGCTGCTAAATGAAGATAACTTATCTTTTTCAAGTATTTGTTATGCAGGACGTTTTATATCTTTCAGACTTTTACCAGTCATAACTAAGGAACTATTGATGCTGTAAACCTGAACCATGAGACTCGTCCAATTGAAGGATCTCTTATTGAAGTTCATCACTCACTTATTTAACCTCTAACTGACAATTGAAGGTCAATATTAAAACGGTTGTTTCAAGTTGGCACTAAGAAGATACAGCGAACAGCTCTAGTTTCTCTAATACCCATTCGTTCAAGTTGATGTTTAAAAGTTAGAACAGTGTCCACGGCAGGAGTTATCGATTTACAGCAAACATCACCAATCTAAAGATAAAATACCCGTTAATGCATAGACTCAACATCTACTTCTCTTTGCTCAATCATCTAATTGTTATAAAAAATATTGGAGGCCATTGAGAAGAAACTAGCGTTATTAAATTGATCATTAATATAATACAATGAGGAATATTATCCAGTTTGATGAGTAATTCCCTGGTTGTTCAATGTCTAATGGATCATTAAGTTTTCAACATTACCCATTAAGAGAAGGGAGATTCAATGAGTTTATATCTGATTTCCATTGTTTTTTCCTCGTTTCTGTTGTGACCCATTTCAACCAGCTAGACTTTAAACATATCTAATCATTGATGGACCAAACGCATGACCAACTAAGTACCACGAGGGTTGTTTGCTACCAATCTGCAATGAAATACGGAAATCAAAAGATACTGATCAAAGAACCTGTCAAGAGGATATTGGAAATAGTAAAGTTAAATAAATGGACAACTGAAGATGACAAAACCACAAATTGTACAACCTAATTCAATGGCAACTAAACCAAAGAAGCAAGAGTAACTTGTGAAAATGTTAATTCCAATTAGGTGTGGGTCATCGTTATTGCACGTTAAAGCTTTAAGCTGTCAAAAAATCAAGTTAAACTAATCATGTTTTTTTGCCCCATTAGATGAGCATGAATGTTGGTCTCTTTAGATTCTGGAAAGAGAGAATTTTTCCTAAAAAAAGAACTCGAATGGATGACAAAGAAAATTAGGATTTCCCTTTGAACCAAGTATAAAAGCTAAAGAAGGAGGAGAATAAAAAAGATGATCATGATGATGAAGATGGCAAAAAAGAGGAAAAGGTTATTACCATAGGCAGAGTTTAATTAAATTTAGAACTGTATTTGAAAACTATTGCATTGGAAGCAGGACAAAAAAGCAATATGGATGATATTGGAGGATAAGAAAGATCTGTAAAGAACAACTTGGAATTATTTTTAACCTGCAACCTCTCCCATTTATCTTCCTCTTCATGATCGCTCTTCCCATTCACAGAATGGTGAAAAATAAAGAACAGTCCACAGAAAAATGCTGGTTCCATCAACATTTCCATGCGAGTTGATTAACTTGATAAACATTATAACATGGATCCATTTTGAACTCACCTTGACTTCATTTGTCTTCCAGTGAATTATGCAGATGATGATAACCATAAAAAAAGAAGGAATAAATCTTTCAATCTTTTTTTTAAAGGATAACTTATTTTTATACTAAACATTATTTCCTCATTTCATTATTATGGTTATTACCTTTTACTTTAATTAGTTAATTGAATTTTCCAGGCTTTCCTGAATGTTGAATCTACAAATGGACGCAAAAATAATTTTGATTATTTTAATCATTTCAATTTTTCCCATCCAAAGCCATTTACAGAGTCTATTTGCTCAATTTCAATGTTTTAATTGAAAAGCAAAAAAAGCAGCTTCTGTTGATTTAATTGAATTTAAAAATTCAACTCCCAAACAGCAATCATTTTAATCAATCCAATAGCTCAACGATATTTGTCATCTCTTACTGATAATAACCAAGGCAACTTGATTATCATTGAATGCACATTTTCAAATTGAACCCAAAATCTTAACGTTTCTTTAATCAACCAAATTATTGTAAAATTGACTTTCAATTAAAACAAGAGTGAATCAACAATCAGTGTTAGGAAAACCATTCAATTACAAGGTAAGCTGGACAATAAAACAACCCAAAATTGAACCCAAATCTAACCCAAAGAAATGGCCATTTTGAGAAGGTAAACAAATCTCATTAATCATTGATTGATGTTGCCTTAATCATTACTAAATTATAATAGACTCGTCATTTAATCAGACGATGATCATTTCGCCTAACAATTGCAATTTATCATGCTTTGAGTTCCTATGAACATCCGTGGATAAAGTCTTTCAACTTGCAAGTAAACAATGTGAAGACAACTATCATAGTCAAGGCAAACATGTTTTTGCCTCTTTTTGTTGTTTTCAATTAGGTCATCATCATTATCATCACCATAATCTTCGTCATCATGTTGTTGCTAAGTTAGAAGCAAAAAATTCTAGTTTTTTGTCTTCGTCTTCTTTCCTAGCAAGATCAAGGAGTAAACAATAATTTACAAAAAGCTTTGAATGAACGTCTTGCAAATGTGTGTTTACCATTGATAACTGCAACAGTTTTTATCTTGCTCAAGGTTTTAAACTGTTAACTTGACTAACAATTTAACTCGTTAATCACTTCTACAATCATCTTTCACTCCATGCTATTTCAATGACTGTATGAGACTGTTTGTGAGTGTTTTGTTTTGCTCCAAAAATCTATCTTTGGATAAGATTCTGATTCTGGTTCAATACAGTCAATTATCTTAATCCAACTTTAATTTTGCTTTTAATTCATATTCCCATGATAAAACCTTCAAATGCTTTTAAACCTTCAATTTCAATTCTAACCTTCTAAACCCTTTTTTTAATGCAATATACAAACGAATCGCCAGTTTTCTTAAAAGTAAACAAAATGACCTTACGCTATGGTTAGTTAATCAAATCTCAAGGTAGATAAAAGCCATTTAATTGTAATCATTAGGTTAACACGAGAAAAGCTTTCATGACTATTAAACTGAGCTTTGCTTTTGGATAAAAAACAATGGACCTTAAAAAGGAGTTGTTAACCTTAACATTGGACTAACCAAAGCAAAGTGAATGTTTACAAGTGAAAGCAATTAAAATTGATTAATAAACGTTCTCATCGTTCATTTAGATGGTCAATCCAGTCGATCAATTGAATAATTGTTTCCTTGCCTTTCCTTCAATTGTTGTTCAATTGAAAAAAGCATAAGAGTGAAGAAGATTCAACCTTAATTTACAGGTATAAATGTATTGCATTTCAATGTGCGTGAGAGTAAAATATACAGAATAGAGGAAAATGTAATGACATCAGAAAAATGATGATAATCATGTTAATAATCATTTTACTTGCATGTCAAGGCGGGAATCAGATGTAACATTGATTATGATCTGAAAGATAAACTGAAAACAATTTTTTAATCAAAAATATTCTCAAATTTCTCAAGGTAAGACAATTTGTACGAAACATAAATGGTAAACTTGAAAGCAATTGTTGAAATTTAACAATGTAACACTTTTTTCATCAAACCATTGCAACTTGATGATGTTTAGGAATATCATGATCAACAATATCTTCATGCTGATTACAACAATTATTGAAGCAACACCCTGGGATTGTTGGTCAATTGTTAGATTAAGAAACTGTTAACAGATTTTACCTTTTTTTTGATTCGATTAATCATGAAACTTGTTCAGGCCTGTGAGTTCGTTAATCCAATTCAAGGCAAACAACAATGAGAAACTATGAAAACAATAAACCATAAAAATGACCAAAAATCTGGTTATTTTAAGCGCTAAATATGAATCTTCCATATTTTCTGGTAATTCTTGTCAAAGGCCATTAAGAATCCAAGTTGACTGTTGACATTTTATGATTATTTATCAAGCTAATCGGTTAAATCATTTAGGACATCAACTGTGGGAGTCTAATCATAATCTTGGTTGACTATTGAAAAATATGTTAAAAGAGGTTGCCTATTATTTAACAGGCAAATGTTGGAAGAAAGAGAAATGACGATCATGATGATAATGATGATGATGATAAAAGTGAGAGTAGGCTGAGTGAGAAACTGCATGAATCTTTGTCTTCATCATTGGGTTAACAGCAACAAGGCAATCAACTTGGAGCCAAATCATTTCATTATTTGGGTTTCTCTGCTCACAACCAGAATTGTGTTTAACAAGTTAACCAGAAAGCTTATCCTGTTTACAGTTTTATTTCGTTAATTTTACTCTTTTTTTCGTTTCTCATCTAAATCTTTCATTAAACCTTTTCTTAATCTTCTTTAGTTAATTAATTGCTAATTGTGCTTACAATCAATCAAAAATGCCAAGTGCTTCTAAACGCGTTAATGGATATGGTTTAATGGGACTGCTCATTGCAGTGAGTATCATTTTTTTGTTTTCTTATTTTCTGTGTCAACCGATTCTTGCGTTTGATTGATCAGTTTTTGGATCTTTTTTTCAATCATTGATTGATTGATTGTAATTGTGATTAACCTTGGATGCAACTACAACCAGAAATTGGTTAAAACGCTAAGAAATGACACCAAACATGACAATTAACGAATCGCTTGAGAGTCAATTCACTTCACTTGTTTTCATCAGGTTTTGACTAATTTTTAAGGGTTCATCCAGCCATTAATTGTTAATTTTTTACCTTGGTCATTGCGATCATTAACGGTGTTTAACAATGACCTAATGATGACAGAGAGAAGCCTTTCACTCACCAACCCAATTAGTTGAGCATTAGTAACTTAATCTTTTGTCATCAATTGTAGAATGAAAAAAAGTTGTTTTTCATAAAATGATGAATTTGTTCAGCCTTGATGAGAAATGAATTTTCAAGAGCTTTTGTTAATAATGAAACAATTGAATATCCCATGAAATAAAAGACTATATTTCTGCTTGAATTGACTCAACTACTATTAGTATTAACATTGAGGTTACCAGTAAATTTACTTGTCAATTGTGGTGACAAAAATTATTAAAATATCATGAGAATAACTTTTAAGTAAATTGAAACAAAAATAATACCCAATAATTATGATGACAATTATCAAGGCGTCAACTCAATTTGAAATAATTGTTAACCTAAACCATTACTTAACTTATTTGGTTATAATAGTCGCCATTAAAACTACTGTTGAACAATTCCTACGCAAAATTGAAATGATCATGAAAACAATAAAAGATGAAATAATAACGTTCAAGAATAACATTGAAGCCCAAATTACTTACAATTAAAGCAATTTATTTTATAAAAATGATAAAGATAAATAACAATTTTTACATAAAAAAGGCTGTAACATGTTTCGACTTTGATGCAGCAAAAGGGACTTATTTAGGCTGTGAAACTCTAGACTTTCGGCTTAACCCAAAGAGTTACTCTCTGGCTTTTACTCTTTGGGTTAGCTAGACTCAAGCTGAGCAAGAATCGGATGAAGACAAAAGTGAAGATGAAATGAATTTTCTCATCCTTTCCATCATGTTTAAGCTACGTAATACATGGTACAATCGATTTCAATATTAATGTTTCCTGTGTTTTTGTTTTCAACAGGTTTTCGGTGGAGTTTGTTTCTACTTGGTTAAATCAAAGGAAGGATGTCTTGGTCTTGAAGACTACGATAAGGTTCAAGCTTTTCACATAGTTGGCCTCATCACTGGTTTGGTCCTTTTCATTCTTGGAGTCCTCAACTTTGCTGGTGTAATACATGACATTGTAGTCCTCTTTTACATTGTAAGTCAATTTTCTTCTTTTCGCTTCGAACTTTAGCTTTTTCAAGCTTTCAAAGCTTTTATAACAAGTTAGTGTGAAACAAAACTGACAACTGTGAGTAAAATTATCTTAATTTTTTTCTTTATCAGGCTGTTCTTGGTATATTGGTTGCTGGTGGAATCATGGTTTACACTTCGGTACTGATATTTAATATGCCATGTAACCTCAGTGTAGATGGAGCCTTTAAATCATTGAAAAGTCTGGTTGACAATAAGCGTCACAACATTTTCTTGGCTGAAGATGGAAACATGATTGCTGTTTTCATTCTCGACATTTTGTCCGCTTTAATGCTTTTCTCTGCCTCTGGAAGCTTTTACCGAGGTTAAACTATTCTCATTGAGCTTTTCAAAGCATTCATCTATCATCTATCTTTACCAATCTTTTAACTCGCAAATAACTTGTAATATTGCTAAACGAAAATCAAATTTCAAGCCAAACCTAAAAATGACATAACATGTACTTTTATTCACCAGTAAAACAAACAAATCATCATTTCTTTATCAGTTTCCAGTTTTCACATTGTAAATGTATCTTATGCTTATTTACATTAATATTCAAATGTGAAACAAATTGAAGTGACTGTTGACAAGATAAAACATTACATTTTAATATAAACTTGAGTTTATTTCATTTTTTCAATGTTTGTACCAACAACCAATCAATAATCTAGAATAGTCATTAGAATGAGTTTGTCAAAACAAATAATGATATTTCAGACAAAATGACATTCAGCTGAATAATCAGCTTTTTCATAAAATTCATAATTGACTGAATTCTAGATTTTTCGCTCTATCGGTTACTTTTCGGTACATAGATACTCATGATATGTATCGCCGTTGATGCAAGTATAAAAAGTGCTCTAATATATTTTTTGTATTATATTATGGAGCAAACGTTTTATCGATTTTTTCATTGGTTATTCTCGGTGTTGAGCTCAAACGAAACTCATGAAGTAGAACGGCTCGAATTTGAAATTTTTCACTGAGCATTTTGGTGTTCTAAACTGATTCATGCAAATGCAAATCATGAAATGCATCGTATTATTTTGGAGCTCATTGATCTCTTAATCAATTGAAAAAACAGCATGTGATTATCATTAGCCATATTCAATTAAGAAGGGTTATTCGAAACCAATATCTGAGACAGTAAAATCTTTATGGGAAACTAATAACTAAGAAAATTAAAGAATGTAAATTGTGAAAAAATTAGACGAAGAAAATGATTGGTGAGATTCAGTAGTCCCTCGATTTTTTGCAACCTGAAAAAAGAGGATAGATTCACTTTTGGAGTTGAGGCTTTTCATTTTTCAATTGTCAATTTTATCTTTTTGAATTACTCTAATGTTTGTTTGATTAGCACATTGCGACTGGTTATGTTAAAATAATTACGAGCTATTCCAACTCTTTTTGCCAAAAATCGAGTGACTTCTGAAAAATAAATCTGGTTCATTTTGTGCTGCCATCCAAGAGTGGCAGTTATAACTATTGTTGATTAGATGAAGGCATTAAAACATTACTTATTTCTTTAAACATCTCAGAGAATCATTTAAATTACTAATCAAATATGTTAAGATCACATAAATAATCGTGATCAATAGCATTTTTACACTAGTGGCTTAGCTATAGCTACTACCGGTACCCAGGCCTTAAAATAATGTGAAGATCACCATTAAATGGTTTTCTGTCTAATTGAAACTGAACTTGCCAGGAAGATTGAACCGATTGCACTTGAATTGTTTAGTTTAATTCAAAGAAAGTGTGAATCAAATGGGAAAATTGATTAATATTTTAATTTTTGAATTATAATTGTTAATTTACATTTGTACACATTACGAATCAATGGACTTGCTTTAATTTGCCAATCAAAAGGGAAAATTTGTTAACATTTTTGATGAGCAATTTTTGTCCAAAAAGGTCAATTTTTACAGAGATCAATGGCAACGGAAAACATGAAAACGGCCTTTGATTAGCTTGATAAACTAAATAAAGTTGATTCTATTTGGTGAGTTATCATGGAAATTAAATTGAAATTGATTTTTCTTGACTCAATGGTTTTGTCAAATGTAAAGTAATTCCTAAGCCATTGCAATGGAAATTGCATTGAAATCACAGTCTCAAGAAAAATGGAAAGGCAAAGATAATGATTACAGTAAAGCAATAATTGATTTAATTTGTTTCTTCTGTTTCTAACCAAATTTGAAAAATAGTAATCATTTTAAATTACGATATCCACAGGACGGTGATTACTATCGTACAAATTAACTGTGATTTTGTCTCAATACCTAATCGGGTGAATTGGACTTTACTTTTGCTGACTTAACGGATCTACAAAGTTATAGTTTTGATCAAGACTGTTTAGTCACATTGATTGTAAGCATTAAGGTTAACGGTGAATTGCCTTTCCGTTTGCTGTTGCTAATTTTAATTTACAATTTACTTTGGCTTAAGGCCTTTGTCTTTGTGTGTGAATTTGAATTACGGCTTATTACATGTTAGTTAATTAGATGATAATGAGAGAGGAAAATGTTGACAGTAATGGCGTTGATGGCGGTGTAATTGGATTGAAGCAGATCGTTTTTAAAATCAACACTTTGTCTCTTCAATAACAAGGTTGACGCGGTTAGACTGGTTATATGAATGAACCCGTTCATTTTAGCTCCAATTAGTTTTGTCACTTTTATGGCTTTTATGTATCAAATGAACCAGCTTTTGGTGCTATTGGAGCCAATAATGAACGATTACTGGTTCCACCGGAGGTCAAGCTTCCTGAAGACCATGAAGATCGAGCACGAGAAGCAGCATCATTTGGATGAAGGTAATTGTGCCTTGATTGAGCCACACCGATTCCACTTGTCCCACCAGTGCCGACGGCACTGCATCTGCCCACTGTTTCTGATACCTCTTGATTTACTGAAAAAATAAAACAAAACATAATTCATTCATTATTAAACGGAAACGTTAACCTTCAAAACTTGATCTCAAAGAAACGGTTCAAAAAATCATTTTCAATTTGAATCCTTTCTTTGTTTCATTCAAAATTGAACCATTTTAAAGTCGACTCTTAAAGCTTTACAAGAAATTGTAAAAACATGAAAATGAAAATTTTCTGGTTGAAAATTCAAAACTAATTGGTCAAGATAATGAAACTAGATATTTGGTTCAGTTATCATTTCCCTGAGAAATTTCCCTTTTCGTCTTTTCCTTTAAAGTAAAATTTTGTTTCTTTTCACTTTCATTGAAGGATGGTTTCACTTGAATTTCTGGTATCTTTGGATCAAACATTTTGGGTTTACATTTGGGTTTTGATTTGTCTATCAAATTCACTGAAATGATTTGAAACTCACCTGCTGGCGACTCATTTTGATAACTATTAAGGCCTTGATGTGGTGGACAAAGTAACGTTTGTTGAATTAAAGGGATTAGTGTTTGCTCGATAACTCGACTTAAGGCCGCTGGAAGCGATTCCAATTGTTCTTGCAAATTTCCAATGCGCTCTTCAAGAATAATTACTCTCTCCTCCAAAACTTCTTGGCGTTTATTCATGTCAGAAACTATCTCAAGGACTGAAGATTGAGTCTAAACGAGATAAAAAATCATTGTTTTATTTACTTGACCAGTTTATTGTTTTATTATAGTTAATATCTTGTGAATGTTGATCTCATTTATGCTCTTTAAGTCAACCATCATTTAATTGTTGTCAATTTATTACAGATTTTATTCTTAATCATTTACACAAAAGAACTGTAAAACTAAAGATTTATCTTTCATTGATGTCACATAAGATTCAAGGCTCGCAAAAGGTCCATTAAATATTTAACTTTATATTTGCAGTTGAACATTTTACTGCCATTCCTAGTATGTTAAATATATTGATTAAACATAAAGAAACCTTTTATCCAGTTTAACAATCGTAAAATCTAAGGCCAGTATCATGTTATTGAGGTAAAAAAAATCCTAAATACAATTTTAACATTCGTCTTTGCTCATTAAAATAATTTCCTGGTTAAATATTAATAGTTTTCAATTTAGCCACTAGATGTTAGCGTTTAACGTGGGTTTAACCCAAAGAGCAAAGTCAGTTATACTCTTTGTATTACTCTTTGCTCTAAACCCAATTTGTAGAGAAATGTTATTCTTTATTGACATTTGTTTATTTTGATTGCAGTTAATTATAGTTTTTTGTCTTACCGTAACCATATCAGTTATTGTCTTATCATTGTCCTTTAACTTTCTCTGGTCCATCTTACACTTTCTTAAGCTGCAATGAAAATGGAATAAATTGGTGAAATCTTTTTGGTAAAATCAGTTTCTCTTCATTAAACATGTGAAAGTGCTTGTTATGGTTGGCAAATACCTAATTACCTGTAAATTGCGAGGAGAAATTTACGTTGATGCGCCCGGATCTTGGAAGGATTTACTTTTTTAACCAGCTTTGTATGCTTATAAATTAACCAGGTTTCTCTCAATACATTGGCAGCTGAATTTTTCAACTGATACAGGTGATAATGTTTGGTTTAAGAAAAGCGAACCAAAGCTATTTACTCAACTACTTACCCTCTTGGTCAATTGGGTATCCATCATAAAATGATGGACATATTTCTCTGCTCGAGTCAGTTCAAGTTTCCTAGCAATCACAGCAACAACCAGAGCTGTACAACCAGCTCCCTATATCAATGAATCAAAATGGATATTAATGCTAGTGCTGTCCAAAGATTTCCAGTTGGGCTGTAAAATAATGGCCAATCGAGACTCACCATTAAACCAGTTGTTACAGCAATTCCTCTACCACAATATGTATTAGGAACGATATCACCATAACCAACAGATAAAAATGTAATAGCTGTTAACCACATGGTATTCAATAGATTGGCATGTTCTTTATCATGGTTCCTGAAAAAAAACAGAACATTATTTTAATGGCTCGAGGCTTCAACTACTCACAAAACCTGTGTTCATGCATAATCTCCAATCTCATAAATCTGCAATGTTTCATTTCTGGTTTTATTAACAAGTTATGCCGATGGTAATACTCTGATCTTTTGAGATATGATTGAAACAATCAATATTATCAACAATGGATGAAAGACGGAACACAAAAGTCAAATAATGACAGGAAAAGATAGGCAAAATCAACAAAGAATACATTTGTATATGTAATATCATTACGAGATATTCACTCCCGGTTGAATTCCATTTCCATTTAGCATATCTTTGACTTACTTTTTTTTGTCAACTTCATTTTCCTTTTCACAAAACTTCATTCCCTGCAAATAATACTCATCAAGCAACATTCTCCCTTTCCTCATCTTTTCCCTTCTCACCTAATCATTACCCAGTAACCAATTCTTGACAACTCAGCTAAGCATTATATCATCACATTTCCTTCAAGTATTTCCCTTTTAATTCCCAATTCATTGTGAGGTAACCATGCATGGCAAACAAAGAGACAGTAAATGGAGAAGAAAAGGAGAGAAGGAAAAAATTCAGAGCAAAAAAAAATTTGATTGAATAAACTGATTGTCTCTTCTTGTTTCAACAGATTCTCAGATTATAAAGGAGACGATAAAGCAATTGTAAGGAACAAGCGAGTCGAGTCAAAAACAGAAGTCTATTCATTCCAGACTAGAGCTGATAATATCAAACTGGTAGCAAATATTTCCAAACCTATCACTTATCAAAACTAATAACTTTTCAAAGACAAGTGATATTTTAATTCCAATCAAACGGAAAATTTAATGTTCATCAAAATTTTGATAAACTTGAAAAAGACAGTTTCTTCAATCATCATCATTGGCACTTCAAGAAAATTGAAGACAATTGATAACCCAGTTCATCCATCGCTACATAATTCCAAAGTGTTAAAATTCCAACTGAATTAACCCAAGTTTCGTAAAAGGTTCTGGATCAATATGAATCTCTCAATTATATGGATTTTCTGGTTTCGAGAACCAGAAATTTGATCTTTCAATATTTACATTTTGACTGATCTGTTTAAATGCTTTATCGCACAACCAATTTGTGCAACATTTAAAATGAACGCATTTTGATCCTTCCTCAATGGTTATCTAATGATGAACCAAAAATTGTCTGAGCTTCCATGTAATGACTCTCAGACCATTTGCCTTTCCTGAGTTTTCTTGTTTTTCCGCGAATCTGTTGATAATTGATAGACTTGATTAATTTGAATGTTGGAAACCTGAGAAGTAAAGCATTTTGTTTATTCTTGTATCATTTTCAGTGCTTCATTTCATGAACATTAATCATTTTCCTCTTCTCATTGTTGCTGTTTTTTTTCTCCTCTCTGGTCTTCAGTTGATTAAGGTTACAATTGTGTTTACTTACATTGACGGTCATTTTACTCTTTATTATTATTAACTTGATAAGATAAATGTTGCATCAAATATGATGAGAAATAGTTGCTGGTTTGTAAACAGCCAAAAGGTTTACTTGCAATGAAACTTTTTTCTTATTTTCTTTTCCTTCACTTTTTTTCTTCTCAAGTTTAGCTTTTTTTGCTGCTCCAGCTTGATGAAAGATGAGCAAAACTGTATAAAACGTTGATAATGGTTTAACTGTTTTCACTCTTCTCTTCCTTCCCATCATCATGATCATCATTTTTACCCTTTAAATGTAACCGAGCAAAAGAACTGCTTCTCTAAAGGCTCGTCATTCACAGTTGACTCAACTTGAGTAACATCATCTTTTCCCGTTGAAATGTTGCATTCAGCTAACCAGATAAGAAGCGTCAAAACTTTAAACATGAAATGTAAATTTAGCTGAACACTGCGATTAACAGGAATGAATTTTCACAATTAAGTGTTCCATTGAAATGGTTAACTACTTGATAAAGTTGTAACTTTGACCAAAAAAAGATGAATCATGAAAGATGGAATCACGAGAAATGTTTGTAAAATGTAAAGAAAAAAAATTCTCTTCCTTTTACCATTCATCTGATATCGAGTTTCAATGATGGTGTGAAAATTCAATGTTGATTGGAACCATTAATATTTAAGGATAACTCATTTTCCAACTTATCGTTTCATCGTTTCCATTCAAGTCATTTTTTATTGAATCGCAAATGATTTGAGAAACTCTTTGAAAGGGAAAAATAATTTTGCAAAAATTGAACCCAAAAAGGTGCCAACAATAGTTTCCAGGGAAACATTGAAATTTCAATGGAAAAAGGCTCAATATCGAACTCGATTTAAATGTACAGTTGAACAATTGATTGGTGATTTATTATCTGAATTAGTTTCAGGAAAAGAGAAAGAAAGTTTCAACACTTTTCTTTTCATGGAAATAATTTGAAAATGTTTTTTTTTGTTCATCAAAAGTTGATAAATGAACTTTAAGCAGAACCAATCATTTCGGGAAAATTTGAAAATTTCACATTCTCTTTTCAATCGATTATTAATGCGAAAAGAAGTGTATAAATATTGAAATATTGAACTTTTAATGAAAAGTAAACTTTCAATTTTGTTGTCATCAAACAATTTTGAAAGATTATCTTTAATAAACAAAAAACTATCAATTCTGCTTAACTGGGAGTTAATTTTATCGTAAAAAATAAGTCACTTTTTTTGAAGTAAAACATTGAATTGACTTTTTTCCTTATTGATTTTACTCGATACATTAATCAATTTAATTAAACTGATGATAAATGGTTGAAACAGAGTCGAGTTAATTAATCAATCAATCAAAGTCAAACATTGATGGATTGCGAATCGAACAAGTCGATTGGTCCAACATGAAAAAAACAATTTTTTTCATTCCACATTTACTTGAAACAATCAAAGTTAATTGCTCTTTAATTATATACTCTTGAGATGTTCCTTTACAAATATCAAGTCAACATTTTGACGGTTAAAACAAAAAAACCTGAAAACTATTTACTATCGAAATCGCAACGAATAACTGAAGACCAATGGCAGTTTTAAAATGAACTTTTGATTGATTTGCAAGAATAAATTATAAATTATTAGTTATCTCAAGTAGAACGATCAACTCAAGAATCGAAAGCCTTTTGGACAAAAAATTGAAAAAGATTATGTTCCATGAAATTGAATGAACTTCATCATACTTGTGAAAAGACTAAACTTGCATGGGAATATTGAGCAAAATTCAAATTTTGAGGATCAAGTTATCGATAAATTTATCGAATTTTCACTTCGACTTTTCAACAAAACGTTATCGTTCCTTGCGAAAAAGACTTAGAACGAACCTAAACTGTCGGTCATTTCGAGTCGAAAGTAAATTCAAAGTTAAGAATAAATGAAACCATTAAAAAACGATTTTTTGTTTTATTCGTTTGATGTCATTAAGGTTTCAATTTTCTCATTGAAATTGCTGTTGATCAATATGCTAATGTCTAATACTTGAAGAGATGTTTCATTAATCAAAATTTTCCATCAAATGCTGAACGAAAAAAAATTACTTTAGAAGTTCAGAAATTAATTGATAGCTTTTTTGATTTGCAATTTTTTGGTTATTAATAATCTTAATCGAATACTTAAAGTTGAAAAATTGACTAAAACAATTTTTCACTCCAAGCTGTTGGGTTAACTGTTTTTTCATCTTAATCATGATAACTTGATGCAGAGTTTAATGAAAGTGACATTATTAAGTGGATCCACATTTCTGGGTTGATTGAAGATTAGTTTTGAACTTGTTGAACGATTTAATGAATTTATTCAATTTTGACACTTATATTACAATAAGCATTTCAATTGCTTTAGTAAAATCGAAATTTATCAACACTAACTAAACTTGTCTTGTTTCAAATTTTTCTTGGAAAAAGTTCAAGTATCTAAAAACAATAGTTTCATTCGAAACAACTTGATGAAACAAGATAATTTCCTGAAAGAAAATTGAAAAATTTCTTAAAAGATGTTCTTCGAATTGCAAATTTCCTGAAATCAGACTGAACTTTAACAAAGATATTCAAGTAACACTCAACTTTGCAAACTTAATTTCAAAGTTTTTTCTTCATTCAATTAATTTAAAATTCTCTGCAAAACTCGATTCTAGACTTGCAAGGTTCAAGATTATTTTCTGCGAAATTTTCTCTGATTGATGACTGAAACCAGTAATCTAACGAAAAATATTAAACTCGAAATATGAACATGAAATTCAAGTATTTCTATAATGAAGAAATTCAAACATCTTGAAGAATGAAAAACAGAATCTCTCCAGTTTTGCCAACTTGAAATCTGCAAGTTTTGAGATGAATTAAGATTTTCTGAAAATCTTAGTTTCAAGATTGAGTAACTTCGAGTATTTGACAAAGATTTTCAAACAGACTTAATCGATATGAGAAAACTAAACTTCGCCGAGTGTCTAGAATTGAAATTTGCTGCATTAATGTTTAGTATTAGAATTGAGTAGTAAACCCAGAAATACAAAGAGCAATAATTTATCGTCATTTATAGCAGTTAATTCAGTGATTAATTTTTCAGAATGCAATGTCCATAACAAGCATTTCCTTCAGAATTTTATTCTCATGGTGTTATGAACACTTTACTAGTTTTGACACATTTTTCTTCGAACAAATTCGCCATAAATAACACACATTTAATTGTAATCTGAACGTGAATCACATAGATATTGATATTGAGACAAAACTTTTTTTACCTTTCACAGAGTCGCATGGTCCAACTACCAATGATCCAAAGGGAAACCATGAACACCATGAGAACAGTTCCTGGACAAATGGTCATTAGAGTTTTGAGGACAAATCGAGTGTTGAAGTTGATTCTTTGAAGTGCACAGATGGACCTTGAAGATGCATCGGTAAACAGTTTACTGTGAAGCAGCATAACTCGACAGATTAGGTAAAGACGGAGAAACATGGGAAGAGATAGTATAACGTCCAAAGGAACTTGAACTGTGAGCGATTGACGATTTTGATTGGAAAGTTTAGTTCGCCAGGCAAAGAAGTATTCCCCTGGAATCGGGTGAACAGCGCATATAAGCAGTTCAACCATTATGCTAGCTAATCGTTGCCAAGTCATTGCGATTCGCCAATCATCAGCACAATTGTCTATCATGAACAACTGATAAAAGAAAAGAAAAATTTCTAAGTTTCATTGCAAGACATTTATCCAATTCTTACCTGCACTTCTAGCGCATGATAGGTGACAATGAATCCCAAAAGCATTAAGGTTGAAACGGTGATGAGAGTCTTTAAGGCCGTTGAAAAAATGGAAGCCTTTGGAAGAGAAAAGAAAAAGGTTAACTCATGACAAGAATTCGTGGACAAGTTCAATTGAAGTGCAAATGAATGATGAAAATGTAAAGAATTTTTCTTTTTCGATGAGCGAAATTCAATAATCCAAATTGAAATTGAAACGCTATCTCAACTATTTGGAAGAAATTGTTTGAAATTCATTTTCCATTTGAAATGAAATTTGTTTTCCATTCAATAATTGAATAATGAAAGGCAAACATTGACTATCGACTTGAAGTTGAATTTGAATTTGTATCATCATGAGATGATTGTTGGTGAAATTGTGACACTTTTTAGGTGAAAATGTTTCAATGGTGAGAAATATTTTGTCAGATGTTGAGAAACTGAAAGTTGAAACATCAAAGAATGACAAATGGGAAAAGAATCTCGAGAAAAAAGAATTGATTTCTTTTCGTTTTTCGTGTTTTCTATTTTTTGCTTTCTGTTCACATTTGGTTAAATGTTGCTTTCATCATTTATCCTGTTGAGGTATTTTCATGTTAAAAGGTGTTTTTTTTCTCAGTTTGTGGTTACTTTCAACGTTAACATGTAACACCAAAACATGGACATCAATCATGTTGATAAACATGATGCAGACGAAAGGGTTTCAAATGGATGAAATGATATGATAAGATTAACTAATGTTCAACTGCAAAGGGAAATAAACTGTTTAATCTTTCCACCATTTACTGTCATTGAGCTTTTCAAAGATAAAAATGTTGATGATAATCAGGAATAAACAAGAAAAATGTGGATCTTGAGTCATTCCAATTCTGACTTGTTTCTTTTTCTTCTTGTATTGCGTTCAATCACATTTGTAACTTTCAACAAAATGTTTCGCCTTTTTAACCTTTTCTGTCCTTTAATTATCATTAATAAGAAAATAATCTTTTATTTCGTTTGACTTTCTATCCTTCAAATTCATCTCAGGTCATTCTGATCATGTCTAAAGTTTACTGTTCAATGTGGTCTGTGATGTTCAATGATCTTAAAACTCGTAACTTGAGTTTTTCAATTCGCGAGTCAACAGCACCAATAGCTGTTGCACTATTATGGCTATTAAAATTGAAATCAGAATATTTCTGTAAATTTCTTTTAAGCGGCAGAAAACACTAAATGGTAAATAAAAAAATGAATTATTATTTTGTTATTATAATCTTTCGATGATTTACGTCAAATGTATGTTTAAGTGCTTTTCTGGTTTCCAAAAGACGTAAATTTTTAGTCTCAACTCGTCACTGGTCAACAATAATTGGTCTTTCATGAAAATATTAGATTGCATGACCTCGAGTCAGTGAATAACTTTATTCACTTTTCACCAGATTAAAGCTAAAAAAGTCTGTGCAAACATGGCAAATGAATTTGATCAGTCACCGGTAAGAAGACTGAAAATGACTTGGAAAAAAGTAAATGTCAGAAAAGTTAACGATTTTTCGAGTTTACCAGCAAAATCACTAAGCATTTAGTTGATGAGCAAAGGCAGTTTTTTGTAACATTACTCAGAATGTAAGGAATTAAAGGTTTAAACATGATGTTTCACCATAATATACTTTGCATATCTTTCCACTGATTATCAGTTTAACCAGTTAATTCACTTTTTATCGTTGTTGTTACATCCATTGTCACAAAGGTGAAACAGAAAGAGAGCAAAAAAATGATTCTCTTGCAACAATATTTTATCATTTTTAGTGCTTTCTGTTGTTCCAACAAGAATCATTCATGTTAAATATTCATGAGGTTGACTATCGAGCTTCAATAATGATGATTGAAACTGCATTATTGAAAATAAAGGGAATCGTCTGATAGTATTTAGCTTTTATTGGCAGACGATGAAGGAAACAATTTGATTCTTTATATTGCAAAATGTTCAATTCTTTTTATATTCTTGGGTCAATCAAATGTCAAAGTGATTTTCATCACTATTTGTAACTTATCCCATGATAATGATGGTTGGAACGAAATGTGATTTTGTGTCGAACAGAGAAAACGATACAATTTCAGGATAAAAATGATAATGACATTTACAAGGATCATCACCATCATTGTTGTTGTGGTTGTAAAACATTTGATGCAAAAGATTGAGTAAATGTAACTTTATTTTTTTGTGGCGTGTATCTTTCATCATGAACAGAATGAAAAGCTAAACATGATTGAATGTGAACACACAATCAGATGAATATGAAATAAATATGCATTTCACCAGAAAAAAAGAGGAAATTGTATTCTATCAAATTGAATTCTAATGTGGCTAAACATTTATCGTGAGACTGAGAGTGAACTTTTCGTAAAATAGTCAACATTCATTGCAATAAACACAAATCAAATAAGTAAAACTTGGTTGAAGTTATTCATAAACAAAATAGGCGAGAAAATTTTAAAAATGTCTTTCCATTGATGCTTTTACACAAGTATCAAGTGACCACAAAAGTTTGCGCAAAATCTTGCCTTTCAACATTCATTATTTAGTGACGATTAATCTTGACTAGCTGGTATTAAACCGCTGTTTACACCTTTCAACTTGCGAGCATTGAAGTGGATGTTGTACCACAAAACCCGCTTTTTGAACACAAATTGCTGGTTAGCTAGCGAATTATTACCTTAAATAACTTTTTGATATTCTTTTTCAAATAATTAATTGCAGCAAACTTTTCATCGAAATCATTTGATTCTTAATGACTGATAATATTTGAAAACTTGAAACTCCCTGATTCTCTTTATTCAGGAAAACGATATTCTCAATGAAAGAATTGCAATCAATTTTATTACCATTTGTAAAGTTGAGGTAATCAATGGAGTGTTGTTTTTCAACGAAAGAATGAGTTTTTATAATCAACTTGGAATTGCTTTAAAATGGTTCAATCGATTAACCATTAAGACGATTCACATATAAACTCAAGTATTCATTATTAACCCTTATTTACTTTTCAGATTGTAAATGAACAAATAATCGACTCAGACTTTCCTCTAAATTAGTCGACATTTTAACCCTTTCTATTGTGACCCAATTCAGCTTGACCCAATCAATGGAACAATATCACATGATATTAATCAAACAAACGACTGTGATTAAAGCAATCGATAAACCTTTCAACTCGAAGTCAATCACTTCATTAAAATCTTTATTGAGTCGAGCTTTGCTCAGATTAATATTCATCTTTTTTTTGTTAAACAAAAGTCGAAATGCAAAGTCCATGGAAGCTTTCATTAAGTGTTGAATCAATAATCTAAATCTAAAGTTAATTATGAAGTTAATGAAATTGCATGATCATAATCAGTTTAGATGGTTCAACCTCGAAATCCAATGAGCGATAATTGACCAATTAGTGCATTATCATGTAAACTAAACTTGATTAACAGCCATTTAGTTGACTTTTCAACATTCATTATTAATCGATGAGAAAAGAGCAAAATTCAGTGTTCATTGTTCAAAGAATGTGTTCAACTGTGCAAGATGAAAATAAATGTTCATCCATGATGACAGTATCAACATTAATTCATCAACAGAATATTTCGTTTCACTTAGTTTCTCTGCAAATGTAAATATTATTGTCATCATTTACAATGTATTACAATTCAATTTGTGATTCAGCATTTCACTTTTAATAAAATTGTGAACATTCAATGATTACATCAGATAATGTCAAGTTTCATTGCAAGTTAATGTTCACCAAATCTGATTATTCAGTTGAAAGGATGACTTGGATGGAAGAAGAGTTTTGTTTGCAGAAAAAGTCAATGTTACTTCGAATTTTGAATGCAAAATATTGCACCATTTTCAATGTTGACGAATCAGCTTTGACTTGAACATTTTCATGTTTACAATTAGTCTGAGGATGAAGATTAAGGATAATTGAAGGAAAGTAATTTAGTCACAATTTGACCAGAGAATGTTGATGATTTTTCATGATTTGTTGTTTGATAAGTGACGATAATTCAACAGTCACTTTCGTGACTCAATCAAGTGGACAAAGTGAGAGAACGGAAATGTTGATGGAAAGTTGATTTACTTTTTTCTACAAGTTAAGTATATTCTTATAATGTTGACCAAAATTGGTCACTTTTTTATTTTGTCGAGTCAATTTATTTGCATTTCCACTTCATTTATTAGGTTGCCCGGCGCAAAGTGGGGGAACTTTTATTTTTAATATTTCATTTATACCTGAATCAATTCAGTCAATTTTTTTAAAAATTATTTAAGTAAAGATTCAGAATTTTTTTGACACATCTTAAACCCTTTAGACATTGGTAATTCGAAAGTAATTAGATAAAAATCGAAAAATGGCAATTTTGTAAATTTCGAACTTTGTGGCTTTATAGCGTTGTTACCGATGAAAAATTTTTCAAAGTCATTTCGTCTAATTATAGTAATTGGGTTGATTAAAAATCACTTTTCTCAATTTTTATTCTGATCACCAAGTTTTCGAGAAATGTTCGATTAAAAAAGTTTCTATCGCGAGCAAATCACAGGGGGGACCCTTGGTTTTTTTAGAAAATTTTGAGCCGCACGAAATTTCATTTTTTTGATTTTTTTCCAATAAATTTCGAATTAGAAAACGGAAAATTATAAATCATGTATCATAAAAATTCTGCATCCTTCCTTATATGATTAGCAAAAGAATTGTTTTATTTGCTTTGATTAACAGTAAAATATTAACATTTAAAGTTCCCCCACTTTGAGCCGGGCAACCTAATAGTTGATCAATAATTTGACATGTAATTTATTTTAGCCAAATATGCTCTATTGGACTTGTTTGATAAGACGAAATGTTCATTTCTTTTTCTGATTTATTTTTTTCGCTCCTTAAAAGCTCATCAAGAGGAATGTAAAATGTCGCTTGCATTATTCTGAGATTTTGAGTATTCTGAAGGTGAAAAATAAGCAATAATTGCAGTTATTCAAGCGATTCAACTTTTTTCAGAGAAAAATTTTGCAGGAAGAAATATGCTTCTAAAGTTTCAATTTTCATTTATGACATCATGAC